ACATGTGAACGAATAACTAGGATTACGTTAAAGATTACATACGAACAGTCATCGGGTAGGTCCACTCGCCAATTACGAAACAATGAACAAGAAAGTTTTAAAACAAAGAAAGGAAAGCGGTTGAGAATACAAAATAGCATCACGTGCCGCTTTTAAAAACCGACATTGGAAACTAAAGACAAATTTTAATAATATGAAATGTTTTAATAATATGCAATAATAATATGGATCGCGTTTTAGCTAAATCGACTTCCTTCATTTCAAGGACTATTTGAGATAGCCGCGGTTGGACAATAAATATAGACGTAACGCGACATCTTTGGCTATATGGACTGAATGCGGTGAACTTACTTGGCCAGGCTATGCGGAAGCTTCGATCACTTAATCGGTGTGAAGGTTATTTTTATTCTCAAGGGTGGGATTAACATTGTATGCATAAAATGCATATGCGTACTTTATCTGGAAATCTTGTAGAGGGCACAGAATTATAATAATATGTGCACCATTACTTAGTATGTTATTGGTACAGTGCATCAAAGAACCTAGTTACGGATTAACCTTAATCTTAGGACTTATTTTTTGGAACTTAAAGTCACTACTGACTTGACACATTCATTCTACGTAATTTTGGAATAAGCTTTTTCTGCATTTTATTATAGTTATTTTAAGAGACGACGGTTTGAGAAGTGTAGGTACGTTATGTTGGTCGTAACCAAACAATATAGAGCAAAGCGATCAACCTTGAAAGCGAGCTATGTGCATAAATCACAAATCCGCCAACAATAGGCACACTATGGCAGTACACTTAGTAGAAATAGTTTCAAATACATATTTCACTGTATGGCCCCGAGACGGCGCGTGCGCACACCACGACCGCAACTGGTCACGATCTTGAGAATCGATTTTTCATAAAATTGTGACCTTACGAAATCAATGGTCGAGACAAATATTTATGACAAAAGTTTTGAATCATGCACATGTAGGTAAACAATTGAATATCAAGTGTACGTTTAGCAAACGTCGAGAATAGACAATTATAGGTGGAACAATAGTTCACTGTAATGACTAAGTAAGCACATATTTAACACAGAGCAATGAGTAGTTATGGAGCCCACGCAGCAAGGAGCTTGGACATTGTGCAATCAGCTCTCGGAGATATTTTGCTCAAAGTAAACATTTTATTACAGCAATTCGTTTCTAAATTCGCGTAAGATAATCTAAATTGGAGCTAACAAGTGGAGGAATGCATAAAAGAATTCCCACATTAAAATGCAAGGTCTTTTAATTGCGAGGTTTTGATCATAATAAGGTACCTCTAAGAATAACATAGCCCAATAAACAGAATTCGTGAGACATTAGGCGGGTACCCAATAATTAATTTGAGAATGAGCTACATAATTGACACAAATAAAACAGGAAATATTATGATGACGTAAACACAGGCTGTCAGTCGAGAGGCTGCTTTGATATTTGCACCATTTTTTCAATTCATTAAACCAAGACAAGGTTGTCTGGAATTTTGGCGTTACTAACTTTTTTATACAAAATGTACTTGTTTAATTCCCTGTCAATAGCATTACCACAATCTAAAGTATTTTTGTAGTGTTCGATTATGTTCTACAGGCTTCTATTAGCAAATAAACACGAGGTATTTAGATGACATAACACAATCCAAGATGGTGCATTTGATAAAACAGGTTGCAAGATGGCTCCGCCTTGACCGAGCGACTTGTCCACTATAATTACTATAAGCTATACTCGCCCGTGACACTATTAACATTTCTCATGCTTCGTGGCTTGCATACTTGACTCTAACATCTGACATTAAAGGAATAGAACTCAATAGTGTTTATATTAAACGGATTGATATGCTGGATTCCTTTGTGTTCGCTATAATGTTTTATAAACTACACAGAACTGGAATTTGTTGGATTACTTGTTCTATTAAATATGCTTGTTTTATCATTATTCAAGTTGATATGTGCTGTGTTGTGTTGTGTTGTATACGGAACAAAACTTTAATGTTGCCACATGAACTACTTAAAGGCATTAATATCGTTTAATTAAGTGCATATCATTTATATTAATTGCGCAAGTCGACTATGTTTTATATCTGAACAATAGATTATCATTAATTTTGTGGAACAAAGCAAGGTAATTTAAGAGCTTAGTTAGTTGAGATCTAAATATAAAGAATTGTAATGAGCCGGTTGATCAATCAAACGGCACGCGCCATGTTGCGCTTGCGCATCAGTTAAGGTTGCCACAAACCGAAATTGGATATTTATATAATTTATTTTAATGTTCTTAGGTATTTTGTTTGCACATTAAAATTGAAATTTGCGCAACTCGAATGTCTTAGGCTTCTACTAGCTATTTAATAATTCAGTAAATTAAGTATAATATATCCCTCTCAGTTATAATATAAGTATTCATGATTTTCATTGAACTAAAGTATTACTATGACTTAGGTACTAAACACTTCACAATCGTAATCAAGCACGTGATGTTTGATAGGTACTTTCGTCTTAATCTTAAACACAACAACGTCAAGTTGTGATTTGCGACGGTGCGCGGTGGAGGGCTACGGCTACGGCGCAGACGACTACGATTCGATACAGTTTCGCAATCTCGTGACAAACCAGAACAGCCACCACCGTAGCATACATGTAACAACGTTTTATTGATTGCTGATCGCAATCATTATTATTATACATTGCGCAATTTGTTCGACACACGCGTGCCGGACATTAAGGAGTGGTCAACAAACAGTTATGTCGCAAATAGGCGGTTATAGTTTGTAATAAATAAACGCCGCCCGGTCGGCTTTCCGTCGTTCCGCAAACTCAAGGAGATCAATGCATGCAATTACCTGCCACTACTACAAACGTATACACGTTAATTTGAATGGGACTTATCTCAGTAATTACGTAATAACAGCCTTCGTACGCACTCTCAGACTTGTTAGGAATAATATGACAATCGCATAACAAAAACACTGCAAATTACACGCACAATTCAGTTATTTGCTTGTCAAAGAGGAAAGTGTTTAGGAATCGAGTGAAACGTGGCAATCGGTATCCTGCCGGTTAAACTCGCGTCAATACAAACAAAGGCTGGTGGAAAGTTAGCGCCGAGCGCACGGGCCAAGCTCTGAATACAAATCGTCAACAATACATCAGTCGAGAGAATTTCCCAACGCTGCTCTGTCATCGTGAAACTAGAACGTGAAGAAAGCTTTTTATTCACATACGAAAAACCCTATAAAACAATTGTCGTGCCGCGTTCATTCCGAAGCCAGCAAGGTTGGCGGCATTGTTGAAAGCACCGGCCACCGTGACACTCCCAGCCGAGTCGTTGGTTAATCACTTCACGTTTTGTACTGACCGCAAAAAAAAATCGGGCACCTTGCAGAGCAAGGCCAAGCGCTTGTCTTAGTCTCCATCGCTCATTTTAAATAATTACGACAACAATGCACACGGTCTTGTTAGAACGCAGGGCTTAAACAATCGCGACACAATTTTTATGAAGGCAAACTAGGTATCGCAAACGAAAGGATGCAACCGCGATGAGCCTTAGCAGTCGCGGCAAATGTCAAGTCGCCGTATGCGCTGTGAACTTTACAGCTCACCTGTCTGTTGCTACGTGCACAAACTTCTATCGACTATTTGTTATGTTACAACTTACAGATTTCTGAAAGGAAAGAACCGGTGACTGTTACGGCAACTATTGCTCAACCAGACTCCGCGCGACACCGGTTAAACGTACCAAATGGTCATAAACCGAATCAAGGTTATCCATTATGAATCATGTGGTTAATGAGCAGTGCCTTTTCCCTCTATCTCGAGGATAATCTAAATCAAAAATGTATACTAAACGAAACTGAAAGGTTTATTTAGTATATTTTAAGTCAGCAATATTCAGTGACCTATTGTAGTAATATCATTGGTTCCCGACGGCGGCGGAACAATCGAAACCAATTAAAACGTCGATAGAGCGCAACATTGCAAGGCGTAAGTGCACGACGCGCGCGGTGCCCGCCCTCGCCGCTCTATCATCTAGTACAGGTTCGGTGCATAGTTTAGCACAATTACAAAGCAAGTTGGGCTCGTGTTTTATCGAAGGCGAAATCGAGTCGGGTGACCGTGCCTTTCACGGAGCCCGGCCACGCCCGCCGGACACCACGGGCGACTTTGCCTTCACTGCCCTAATACTTCCATATCTAGTTCTGCCATTATTAGAGCCGGTATAGTTCAGGTTAACGCAACGATTTTATCCCAATAAAATCAGTACTATTTTGAAACGGAATTAGTTGGAATACTTACTACTACTTACATAGCCACCGCGACCGCATCTTCATTGTTTTCAATAAACGCCATTACAAATGATAAAATTGTTGGTATGAATATAATTTCGTGACTGCGGCGGGAAGATTACGTTACGGCGCTCGTGCCGATTGAAATTGAAAAATTTATCCGATCATTGTTTCAAAACTCTCGAAGATTTCTATGTCGTTAGTGGTTACAAACTAGGCTAATGAACATTTCTCCGGTAAGGTTACATAGATTCTGTAGAACAATGAAGCTTCGGCCTGATATCTACTTAACAATACACAGATACTATCAAATTAAGCACGACACTTTGTGTTTTTTCGTATTTAGGCCTCGCGGCCTTCCTGTCGCGCGGCGGGCGTTAATTCGCCATTCAATTTCCAATTAAACGCTTGATTCTCAATGCCAGCTGGGTCGGAGGTGGTCGCTCTACAAAACGTTAATAAAAGGCGGGTGGTGGCGCGTGGCTCGCCAGTGCCCCAAACACCGCCACTGGCCACCGCTTTTGTCTCCTTCGGTCCTTTCACTTTGCGCGCTCATGAACGACTACTTAGTGTACGCGATTAACAAAGAAAGCCCGACTTAGATAAGTTTATGGATTAACGTGTTATGTGATAGTGTTTATCTATGTGCAATATAACTAAGAAGTGATGTTTTCCAAACTTTCAGATGGTGAGAGGGGCGGCCATAGCGCTGTTGCTGGCGCTGGCATGGGCGTGCTCGACACACGGCAGCGTGCTCGTGCCCACGTACGTGCTGCCGCCTGACTCGTTTGTGCGCGATCAGCGCAGCCTCGGTGCACTACCCGCACACGACACTCAACACGCAGAATCACAGAGAACAATTAAACGACTGGTTGGCGGTCATCTGAAGATTAAACCAGAAAAAGAGTATGGGGCCGCTAAAAATTCATTAACTTACAACGAGAAGACTAGTAGTGGTAAATTCGCGAGCGTGACCGCGCCAGACCAGTCAGGCGGCAACGTGGGATGGAATCAAGGCATATGGGACGATGGCATGCTCATGTCCAGCGCCGGTGAAGGCAAAGATGCACCGAAGACTAAAGAGGTCGATGAAGACAAAAAGACGTTAGCTGATCAGGTGGCTGAAGGAAAATATGGTCTAATACAAAATGAAATATTCTCTAAGAATCCCAAGCGGCCAGGAATAGTCAGTTACGAACCCAACGCAGAGACTAGAACAAAAGATAACCTTCAAAGTCTCGGTGGACTTAAGAAAGACGAAATTTGGCTTGCTGAGGATCATTTGCTCGTAATAAAAGGAGGAGCATTCCCTGAGAGAACTAAAGAGACTGAGGGTAGACCATGGCCACCCATCGATGATTACCAAGCGCCTAACAGGCAAGTAAAGTTACCGCAGAAACCCAAAGTACCACCGCCCTTTCCGGTACGACTCTCCGACAACGGACCGCTCGTTTTCCTCACGCCAAACGGCAGTGTCCCTGCGTCCCTTTTCCCTTCCTTCTTTACAGGAGAAGGCGAAGGCCCTCTTCCTCCTACGCCATTCCTATTTCCATCGGGAGCGCCCTACCCCGCGAGTGATTATCAGGGAAACACTACTTCCGGGGGAGCGCCGCAGCCAGGTCCTCCGTTCCCATTCCTACCCGGGAATGCGAGCGAAGGAGCATTCCCCTTCCCCCCGTCCATGAATGGCTCTTTTCCAGAAGGCTTCCCACCGGGCGCAGTGTTTCTACCACCACCGAGCAACCAAACAGACCTTTACGACGAAGACGACCCTTCGATTTATTATCCGCCGCCCTACAATTTTTCCTACCGCGCTGACTACAACAATAAAGTGCCTGCTGGCCCACTAGTACCTGGAATAGTATTGCCACCTCCACCGGACTTCTTCGCTCCATTGGAGGAGAACACAACAGAGGCTGTTAAGACTACCACTGCTAGACCAACTACAGTGAATACATACACAAGGACAAAGACTACTACGAGACCGCCTACGACGCACACGGTGCAACGTACTAAGTACAAGACGCGACCTACCACAACAACCGAAGTGCCAAGGACTACTGAAATACCATCAACAATTACGACTCCACCAGTCGATATAATCACAACTTTGAAAACAAGGAAACCACAACGTATACCGTCGAGACATCCAGTGAGGATTCAAAACTTGCCAGATGAACACACAACGAGGACGAAAACCGAGAAACCTATTTATAAAACACGAACCAAGGTTACATCGAAACCTCTCTCTGTCTCTGTTATTTACGACTATCCAGAGCCGGTTTACGACAACAAAGTGCCGACGACATCTGAGAAACCGTACGTTCTATATGACGTACCACAGAGAACACCAGCTGTGACTACAAACGAGATATCCTCTACACAAATACCACTGAGAGCTCATTACTCAAATGTACAAAACGATGTGCCCACTACTAAACTGCAACCTATCTATAATAACAGGAAACCAACCGAAAATGCGTTCGCCTCGTTTTACTTCTACGATGAACAGCCAAAAACGACGCCTTCACCAGCCACATATTTCGACGGCAGAAATTATTACAAGACAGTACCGGTAAATCCAACTCCTTACCCTCAACAGCAGAATATCAATACACAGACTGGCTTCAACCCAGCAGTGGATATTTCATACGGAGCCATTGACCAAGCTGATGCATTATTCCTATGGCCACAGAAGCACGGTCCACGCACTCTCACACAGGAATATTTCAGCATACAGAAACCGAGACCACAGCCTGTCTACGTGCAGCAGCAGAAACAGAGGCCTGATGCTTTCTACCAACAGATTGCTGACATACAACAAACTATTGATTTCTTTACGACGAAGAGACCCAAAGCACACTCTCACAGGCCGCACACACACAAGCCTAAAGCTATTACAGGAAGGCCAGTATATCAGTTTAGCTACCAATCCCAACCAAGACCTGAACAACTGCCCTTCCGGGCACCTAAATTGGATCCTGAACCATTCAGGCCCATGGTCAGCTATAGTAAGCCTTTTAATCTAGCCAATGATTTCAACGCTATAACCCCGTCAGTATCACCTGGGTACCAACAATATTTGGTGGAAAACGTGCAAGTGACGACAGAATCGCCCACCTCTAGCCGATACTATCCCACCACAAAAACACAAGACGATGACTACGAAGACGCTTCTTTCTCGAAAGATAAGAAAAACCGTAACCAAGCTCAGATGCAAGGCGATCAGCCCGCGCATGTTCGGCATGTAACTAGGTATCCAAACACTACGCCAAACCCGATTAGCCAAGGATATTACACGAAACAGGACGAGACTTACTTCGATGATATAACAAAGAACTCGTTCGATGTTTTCGGTAAAAAACTAGAAGACAACACACACGATGTAAATGGATTAGCGGTGACAGCTCCGCTCGACACGGTCAGGACACCGATCAATAACAATATAAACCTCCAATATGCGTACGAGTTAGTGGAAAACCAGAGCCCTAACCCGCCGTCTTTGGACAGAGATACTCTCGTCAACTACCGACTGCCGAGACCCACAGTCAATCCAGAGAGTGAACCAGTCCCGCAAGTGAACGCTGAACTAGTGCAGCAGAAGCCAGCCTCACTAGCAGACGATACGTTAGTCAATGATCGTTTCCCACGACCAACGATAAACCCAGACAGCGAGTTTATTCCCATTGCGAACCCCGGCTACAGGACAGCACAGGAGTACAGAGCGCCTACACAGGTGCAGAGGCCTCAGTTCACAGGCGAGCAGTACGACTTGAATAGGCCATCGCTAGCGGGCGATACGGCTGTCAACTACAAGCGGCCGCTGCCGGCGGTGAACCCCGACGCGGAGTGGATCGGGCCCGTGAACACGGCGGGCGAGGGCCGGCCCGGGTCCTTCGTGTCGTACCGTCTGCCGGGCGAGGGCGCGCACGTGTACTTCCTGACGCCGCAGGCGGCGCAGGCCGCGCGGGACCGGTACCGCGCGCCGGGCTACGGCCGGTGAAACCAAAGCTCTAGTCTGAACTGTCAGCGTCGCTCGCGACGTGCCGTGTAAATAAAAGCGCAAATGTGATGTTAAAGTGTCCTAAGTAGTGTAAGATACGAGACTCTAGCGGGATGGCCCGCGTTGCCATAATATTTAAACAGCGAGTTTTACGTTAGCTTTATGTGAGATTTGTTCTCAGCAGCGATATTGTGAAACATGGACGCTATACTTTTGATACGTTATTTATTAAATTATTTTCTAAGAGACTGTGGTGCATGCATAATGATAGTTAATTTATTTATGTCAGTATTCAACGAACTATAAGGAATGATGTGATACGTGTGTCGATGATTGTGGCATTGTTATTACATGTAATAATGGCAGCAATTGTTAATTGTATAAATTGTTATTTAAAATAAATTGACGACGAATCAATGTGATTTTGTATTGTATTTTTTAAACAAAGAATGTGAAATAAAATAATACAAAATGTTATTTTAAATCGTGTTTTTGTTTCGTTTCCCTGTGAACTTCAACATAATACTTGGAAGGAGAATTCATTGATAAACAAAAAAAAAGTTTGATGACATAAAAGTAGAGATCAATTGTGACAGTAAAGCATTTTTACTATTTTACGATTGAATGATGTCAGTAAGTGAGTCAGGGACACGAAGTGGCCACGTTAGAACAATTACCGAGTTATCAAGTAATATGTATCACAAAAACATTCACAACTTGACCTGACCAGTTTACAAGGTCACTTGTCACTTTCTCTGCGATATTACGCTTTAAAGTTTTAATTATTTATTATAGAACAGCCGCAACTAAAAGCCGGTGCAGGTAAATTATTTAAAGTGTTACGAACTACTTCGGAATTTAATATTTTGTATTTTACCAAAGCCAATACAATGAGTTTTTCTATTAGGGACATTTCCGATGATACACTTCCAAAAAATATTGTATACTTGTCTCATCAGGTAAACATGTGACGCTCTAGGTTCGAGCCCGGAGCGGAAAAGATATAGTTATGAATTATACAAATGATGAATAATGTAACTATTACATACATACACAAAATCACGCCTTTTATCCCCGAAGGGGTAGGCAGAGGTGCACATTATGCCACTGTACAATGTAACACCCACTTTTCAACATTTATGTTATGAGTCCCATGTAATAGGGGATGAGCCTATTGCCATTTAACGGACACAATTCCAGACTCCGTGCTACTACTGAGAATGTTTTAAAACCCCAGTAATACTTTGCCTGACCCGGGAATCGAACCCGAGACCCCTTGCGACCACTCGGCCAACGAGGCAGTTACTTACAATGTAACTATTACTTAATGTAATATTAAATAATCACCATCTTCTTGACGAAGACAATGTTTCGTAGCTCTCAAACAAACAAACGTACCTCTAGTAGCCATAAGAGCAACTACTGGATACGGGTTTGATTCCCGAAATAAGATAATTAGCGTTAGATAATGGCTAAACTGATTGAGACGAATGTGGCATGTGGATAAACATGATACATAGCTACGATTCTATATTAATCTAACAAAGTAGATCAATATATTATTTAACAATCAAAATGTCATATAGCGCGTAGCGTGGTTTGTACCTAGTCGAGCTAATAGTTAGATGAGTAACTGTCGTACTCAGTCATTGAACGGTTACTGAACCCACTCCTATTTTTTTGACGGGGGGAAAATCATCCTTTGTCTTATCCCGCCTGGGTGAGGCGAGAGGGAGTGTCAGACTTTTACTGACTGAAATCGACCCCGTTCCTACTCCTGCACTTCGAGCCGGAGCCTCGGTAACCCGTTAAGTCTTCCGCGTTTCCGTTAACCCACTCCACACAAAGTTAGCAAATTGTTTTCGGAACCGAATTGTAAACAAGGAATAGTTTAATCATTAAATGTATCTGAATACGGCAGTAAACTGTTAAACATATTTTTTGTCTCACTAGTTATAATAATGCAAGAAAGAAAGCATGTTATATCCCACGTAATAGAGCGCCTATTGTCATATATCGAAATCAATTCTAGACTCCGTACTATTACTGAAATCCCAATAATACTTTAGTACTTGAGAATCGAAGCCAAAAGACCCTTTGGTAGACAGTCGCACCTACAACTACTCTACCAACGAGGCGAACCGTAAGTAAATAAGGTCATTTATGCTGTCAAAGGCTCTCAACTTCTCTAAACGAGAAGCATGAAGACTATGATGAACGTAGGTGTAAGCGAAAGAGGTATGCCAAAGTCGTGACATTAGCGTTCTATTGTCGCTACCTACCCCAATGGAAGAAAGGTGAAACAATGTATGAATATGAATGCAAGTACCAATAGCACTTTTTACAAGTTATAGGTATTTTTTAAACTGATCTATAGGTTTGAGTATTTGCCATCTATGCCACGAACTATGGCTCGATTTTTCGTAGTGAAAGCGTTAATGTGTTGCTTTTTTTATGCTATGCCGGTGACTATCCTTACTAATATTATAAATCGGAAAGTGAGTTTGTTTGTTTGTTTGTTCCGCTTTCACGCCGTAACTACTAAACCGTTAACTTTGAATTTTTACAGACGTAAAGTTAGAAGTCCGGATTAAATAAATAATAGAGTACTTTTTGTCCCGGAAAATGTGACATTCCCGAGGGAAAACTAACGTATTGGTATAGATGGCGCTGTGTGTATTGGTATATGTCACATAGGCTACTTTTTATCCTTTTGTGACGCGAGCGAAGCCGCGGGTCAAAGCTAGTAGATAATAAATGTTTAAAAGCCACATACCTGTATCTGGCTCAGCAGTCTGCGGCGCGTCCTGCAGTGGATGCTGGTCGAGCCTGAGGTAGACGTCGACGGCGACCTTCGCGGCGCGGAAGTAGAACGGGTGCGCACGCAACACGTCCTCCAGGCGAAGCAGCCCCACGTACGACCGCAGCGTCATCTTGCGCATACAGTACGAGTGGAAGTCGAACTGATCCTCCATTATCTCGGAGAAATGCTGTAAGAATAATATATTGTGTGTTCAAAAAAAAAGGAGTATGTAAATATGTATGTGCATGATGTATGTTGAAATGATTGAACCTTAACGGTTAACGAGTGATAAAACTAACTGGTGCTGCCATCTGGCGTCAAACATTTAAATGTTACTACTTAACCGGAGTGTCTTGAACGCCGACGTCGGCGTATAAGACACTCGTTTGCGGAGGGTCGATCGCGCGACAATTTAAAGCTGAGGTAAATACAACACCAATACCAATTCCCTTTTACAACAGTTTACTTAGAAGTCTCGTGTAATAAGGTATGTTTTGTTTTATATGTACTTTTTAATAAGTATGTAAAGTGTGATGTGTATGTGAATTTGTATGTTTGCAAACGTTTGCAAGTTTTTTAGTATGGGAACATACTTTTTAAACAGTAAAACGTAATATTTATACTATAACATACCCTATCGACTTCGTGCGCCTTCTTGAGCGCCTCTCCCCACTGCTGCAGACGTTTGTACGCGGCCGCAGCCTCCGTCTGGAACCACATGCACTGCATCTCGTTCAGGTTCTCTGTCGCTGGCACTCCTGGAAACATAAATATATTATATCATAAAAACTTTTGTATTTTACTGACGTAAAACGTTTTTTGTTTATCTTATGCGATATTTTTTGCAATAACGGAGCAGACTCGTGTCTTTTAGTATTACACAATTATATATTCGTAAACAGTACCGAAATTATTTTAGTACTGATTATAACAATATGAAGAATATAAATGCATCTATGAGACACTTTTTGCGACCGGTTAAAAAGCTATGCATTTATCGAAGAAGGCAATATGCTTTAGCAAATCACGCTACGACCAGTAAGAACCGAGCAGCGAATGAAACCACGCAAGAATATTTTATTTATTTATTTTTAGCAATGGTCGTCCCACCGCAGGGTAAAGGCCTCTCTACCCTCCTTCCACTCGTCTCTTCTTAAAGCTATCTGTGGCCAATCCTTTTCGTAGAGTACTAGCGACCCGCCCCGGCTTCGAACGGGTGCAATATGCATGTATTATACAAATAAACCTTCCTTAAGAATCACTCTATTTATTAAAAAAACCGCATCAAAATCCGTTGCATAGTTTTAAAGATCTAAGCATACATAGGGACCGACAGACGGCGGAGAGCGACATTGTTTTATATTATGTAGTGAAGAGTACCTAATGTATATTAATATTATAAAACTGAAGTATTTTATGCTGGAATACTGAAACGTTACTCAATTTTAAGTCGTGCTTAAATATCGTGCTGTCTCTGTCATTTTACAAAGAATTTGTAGTGACAGAACTATGCTTAAGCGCGACTTAAAATTGAGTAATGTTTCAGTATTTGGGCATTAGTCATGAATGCCGTTTGGTCGGACGCTCCGGGACCAAATGTTCTAATTTTGTTTTTTTTTTGTGGTTTAGGTTGGTTAAGGAACATTACCTTCTCTAGTGAACTTGGCGCACATGTCCTCAGCGCGCTTGACATGTCCGGCGCGCAGCATGTACCGCGCGCACTTGCTGTTGACGTACCGGTCGGCCGTGTCCATCGCCTGCGCCTCCTCCAGCCACTGGTACGCCGACACTGGGTCGCCGGCGTGCTGCGGGGTCAATATCATACATCTATAACTACTACTACTAAAATATACGACATTCTCGTATATTACGAGAATACTGCTAACGAAGCTACCCATGAATCGCTCAATATTATGTGTAATCAACTAATTGTTGTTCTGCGTTTGGATATCATGTGTATATGAAATCGGATGTTTGTAAAAGCATCCACGACATAAAAGAAGATACCAGTGTTTTTTTTTAATGAAAAAGATATGTACTCTCATACGCGTTGAAACTAATTAAACATCGTTCAGAAACATGTGTAGATCAACAAATTCATTGAATAAATAAAGAACTATTACCGGTGTCAAACAAATACACAATTATTATATTAAAACTTTGCCATACACGAGTACATAATCCATAATAAAAAAACTAATACTAATAAACTAATGTATTTTATAGAGAATTTAAAATAAATATATGGAAACTAATACTAACCTTATAAATTCTTCCTTTAACAATAAATAATTCTATGAGGGTGGGTGTGTGGTCGATGGCTGCATCAATGTATTGGAGAGCCCTGTCCGTGTCCTTCTTGTAATCGAAGTGTTGCGCGGCGTAATAATACGCCCATAGCAACGCGCTCGCCGGCTGTTTCACTTCACTGGGGTCCGGACCAAAAGTACCATTTTTCGAAAGATTCTCCAAATATTGGAGAATTAATTTCTCTATTGTTTCTGCTTTGTCTTGAATTGCGTATAACGACCTGGAATTATTGAAGGATTTTTTTTTTAGAATAGTTTGACGATTCCTTGTGACAATGATAAGATGTAATCAGAGGCCTTCGTACGAGTTTCCATTACGTTTAAAGTAATTGAAACAAAACCTCGGCCGGCGCTCTGATTGGTTAGTTCATTTGAGCCGGCCAATCACAACGCCGAACGCGTACTCGTAACGATTACTTTAAACGTAAAAGAAACTCGTACTAAAGCCTCAGAGTCTTCATAGAAATATTTCTACAATTTTTTTCTCGTAAAACTTCTAAAGTCAAGTCACTAACGGCTAATGATTTTAATCCAAAATCCGCAGATATAGATGGCATTAAACATTATACTCGGAATTTTAATTCGATTCCAGATTTGACAATTTCAGTGTGGCAACGTTATGACAAGTACTAAATAGTGACGTTGCGAAATTATTCGATATGGAAATGCAATATTTCTGGATCGATTCTTCTCGTTTATAATAATTATAATTTTACTCTTGTGAACGAAGTATATCAGGAAATTAAATATTTCTGAACCGATAATTTAGTTTTGACGATTAATTAACGATCTGAGACGTTTCTTTTATAATTGTGTATAAAATAAATAAAAAAATGTAATCATGAAGGAACATGACAAATAAAACAGATAGATGTATTATGGTAATAAGTTATTTTATAAATTGCCGCCGTCATCGGTATCGCTATCCTGTCACTTTCTGTAACATTTATTATAAAACACACGCACTGATTGTTTATCGATTTTTGTGTGCAGCACTACACTATTTTATGTGGTATCATTATTTCACAAAATGACAGTAGCTATTGTCAAATCTGGAATCTAATTAAAATTCTGACTATAGATGTGTAGAGATCTTAATCCACAGATGTTTGAATGAGATATTATGTTATTAAATTCGGCCGTAAGCAAGCAGGTTCCATTAGGAAAAATACTTTGTATATCTTTTATAAATAATATTTCCGTTCGTTAGTCTCGCTATAACTCGAGAACGGCTGAACAGATTTGACAAATTTTAGTCTTGTAATATTCGTTAAGTCTTGAAGGTTTAAACAGTGAGAAAAACTACTAGACTGCATGGTTGGTGCGGTGGCTGGATAACCGGCTGCCGTACAAAGTGTCGCTGGTTCAATTCCCGCACGGAACAACACTTTGTGTGATCCACAAATTGTTGTTTCGGGTCTGGGTGTCATTGTGTATGTGAACTTGTATGTTTGTAAACGCACCCACGACACAGGAGATAATCCTAATGTGGGACAAAGTTTTTAAAAAAAAGTTTTATAATAGCAAACATACCTGAGATCAACAAATAGCGGGGGTATTCCTTTATGTAATCCGTGTCTAAGGTACTCATCAACTAGTTTCTCGAACACAGGCTGCGCAAGCGCCTCCGTCAGCTGTAGCCGGCGCGGCGCTATCGCTCTAGGGAATTCTTTCCTGAAAACATTAAATTATATTTGTAATATTTTTTACTACACAGTTTTTTAATAAATAGTTATTTCATTAGTGTCAAGGCATTTTAAGAAAGAAAAAGACAACAACGTCTGTCGATTTTACAATATTTATCTTCAAATATCATTACAAATACTTCGTTTTTATATCATAATCTTAAGTTCAACCTAAATTGGTACTTTTCTATAATCTAACAGTTACAAACAGTCCCTTAAATAATATATGACCATAAGCCACTTTTTAGCTCAACAACGTTTATAATCTTCAAGACTGCCTCGTTGGCCGAGTGGTCGGAAATGCGACTGCCTCGGGTCTCAGGTTCGATTCCCGGGTCGGGCAAAGTATTAACGGGTTTTTAAAAAAATCTCAGTAGTAGCACGGTGTCTGGAATTGTGCCCGGTATATGGCAATATGCTCACCAACTATAACATGGGACTCATAACATAAATAGTGAAAAGCGGGTGTCACATTGTACAGTGGCATTAAGTGTCGCAATGTGCACCTCTGCCTACCCCTTCAGGGATAAAAGGCGTGATGTTATGATGTTACTAAATTCCGTTACAAAGACAATTCGACATAAGAATAAGAGATAATAAATAAGGCCTTGTACCATATTCGATAAAACACTAAATATATACAAAACAGTTTCATTAAGTCTATTAGCAGTATGATTATCGATCTGTCGCACATTATGTAAGTGGGCTGGCAAATGTAATAATGTATGTATTATAATGTCGCATTATACGCGTCACAGATAATGCTCATACATAATACACCATATAAATGGATAATATCGGTGCTATATTGCCATTATTTATGCCTGTTATTCCATAAAAAACAAATAATAAGAGTAGACTGATACACTATTTATTTGTTGTATAAAAAAATATCGTACCTCCTAACTAATATTATAAATCGGAAAGTGAGTTTGTTTGTTTTTTCCGCTTTCACGCCGTAACTACTAAACCGATTGCTTTGAATTTTTGCAGACGTAAAGTTAGAAGTCCGGATTAAATAATAGAGTACTTTTTATCCCGGAAAAATTTGATATTCCCGAGGGAAAACAAAAGTATTGGTATAAACGGCGCTGTGTGTATTGGTATATGTCACATAGGCTACTTTTTATCCTTTTGTGACGCTAGCGAAGCCGCGGGTAAAAGCTAGTAAAAAATAAATGAATTTTGTATTTAGAAAAAAGTGCCTAGTGCAAGATTTGTTACCTATGTACCTGTCATCTAGTAGATGACGCAACGAATTCTACATCGCAGGTGAAGTTTGCACTACAGAACTACAGAACAAACTTGAACACATACTTTTTTTTAATATTTGTTTAGACTTTAAAAGAAACGGACATCTGAATTTGTTTCGGCATTACTTCTCATAGTCAGTTAGGAAATGTGGGCTCATAATGTCCTGTCCAAAACGCCTTTAAAATGGCCGCAGCAATGGATTCTATACATGGTAATAATGAAATAAAGAATAAAACTCACTTATAAACTTCAAAGAAGGCCACTTTCTCATCAGGATCAACAAGTTGTTTAGCTTCTATTAACTTTTCATAATACATCACATTTTCAGGGTTTCTCTTCAGTAAGTCTTCATAAACAGATTCTGCTTCCTTAAATCTGAAAATAGAGAAGTAAAAATCAATTGTTAATCCCTAGATTTACTGAAACTGTAAGAACTATTGAACTAATTTGTGAGATATAAAATTATTGGCATAGGACTGTAAAATTCGAATGGGATAATCCTTTGCACAGTTGTGCTGGAACTTAATAACTATAATAAATATAAAACAATTATTGTCTCGTAGAGAAGAAATTCCTCCCACAGCAGTATTTATTAGAGAGAGTATTTAAAACTAAACCAAATAGAATTACATTTATTGTTCAATTTCAGTTTATACCTAGAGTATCGAATGATGCGCATCTGAAATAAAACTACACATATGATACTAATATCTTGAATGAACTTTCTTGATAGTGATATCAAAATATTTATTAATTACTGTGCGAAGATATTGAATATAGCCACAAACCTCTTCAACTTCAAATAATATTCGCCAGAGGTTTCCTTAATAGATAACTTGTCAAGGATTTGCGACGAGAACTTTTGTAAATGCTGCAAAGCTCTTTCGTACTGTCCAGACTCCGCAAGCACCATATTCTGGTACAACAGCAACTCTGAATGCTCGTAATCATCAGTTCCCTTCATCTGATTTGTACGGAAAGCATCCAGGATGCTGATTGCCATCTCATAGTCACCAAGAAGGTGATAACTCATAGCAAAACCAATCCAGGACGCTCTCTGTGTAGGTCTGAGCATAAACAACTGGTAACGGGTATCCTGAAAAAAAATTTAGTAGAATGTTCCAATGAAATCAAGAATTATTAGTTATCGATAAAACGGTTTTAAATTAGGCTTTTCTAGAGAGTTTTGGGACCATTCACAAACACCTTATTAAAAACACTATGCACGAAACTATAGTCCTGTTAAAGGCCTTGGTATAAGTTTGTCTTACATTTAATTTAATGTAATCGAAACGGGACCGCGTTCAGCGTTCCGATTGGTTGGTTCATTGGAGCCAGCCAATCAAAGCGCCAAGCGCGGTCTCGTTCTAAGCCCTCAGTTGGTAAACCAACCATACAAGCATTAGGTACAAAATTAAATTGATGCATGAGTTTTAAAGGTTAATTACAAAAAGTATTGATACTCTTATTAACAAATCCGACCATTAGAGATTTTCTACACATTTAGTTCATCTTTTACTTGTTATTACTGCCCAAACAAGTTAGTATGGCCCTTTTTAATTTCATTAAGGCCGATTCTACTACATTAGGCTTTATTGCAAAGCTCATGTTATTACCAAGAACTTCAACTATCAATGAAACCAATAACACATTGCCTAAAACAGAAATCCAAACATAGCCAGCTGGCTGTGATATGCTGTAGTTTACAATAAAGAAAGTATTGTTTCCAGGTTAAAAAAAATAGTAGCCCAGTTCCTTATTTATACAAAGATGATTTCCCTACAATATTAATTGTAAACATAAAAAACATGTTTCCTAAATAATGTTAAAAAAACACAAATACAGATAGAATCAATTTGGTGGGAAGAATACCTTATTTTGTAAACAAATAAATTATAGTTTACTGTTAAGATAGTCATATGTAAACAGACAAAATCCAAATGACAAAATAATGACTCCAAATGATGATATCAGAAAAGAAACTTGTGTAATTATAATTATACTAGTCATAAGGCTGACTTTATTGCTAGAGCACTGGCTGAGCATTGGATGAGGATTACGAATCTGGCAAACATTATTAAACATTATAAAATGTCCGTTTCTATCGAGCTTGAAATCATTTCCAATTAAAACTAATAAAAGCAGTATACAGCACTACCAGTTTTCACAGATTTTTACACCAAATCCCAGTGTTCAAAAGTTTAACTATATCTTTCATTCACTTTTTGTATTAAAATAGCTTTGTATTAAATAATGATCTTAACAATAACTAACATGGTAGTAATGTGTCAAAGATGCAATCATGTAGTAAGTAATTATCAATTTTTCACTCTACAAACTACACAGTATGTAAACAACACTCACTTTGTACCCTTCCAAGTCACGCATTTGAATTTGTAACAACGACAAATCACGGAGAATCTGAATGTTCTCCTTCTCCCACTTGAGAGCATTTCGGTAACATTTAATTGCCTCATCATACTTTTTGTCAGATCGCTGGAGCAGACCATACACATGCCAGCACACGGGAGACTTAAGGTCATTGCGGAGTCCTCGGCGGACATACTCATAAGCTTCTTCTTTGCGACCCAAGCAATTCAGAGTTAGTCCTTTCATAGCCAATGTTTCTGAAAAATAAAAATTCATCCTATGAGAAATCTGTGTAGTTTAGAAAATGTATTTACATATATGATACCATTGATTTCATTATGTTATTTTTTGCTTCATGCTTATAAACATTTGTAAATCAATGAGTAAGTATGGACACAGTCAGTTATGTAAAATTGGTAACAAATACAGAAAAAGTAAACAGTTGCAGACTTATGTTTTGAAAACAATACCACAAATTCAACACTCCAGCAAAGAGGATGTGGTTGAAATTTATCAATGATAATGCTGCTTTTTTCAATAACACTTCTTAATAAATATACTATACAATTGCCTGTTTAGAGACTTACATATTTATTAAATTGATTAAGTTTTTAATCTAACATTTATTGTTTTGTCATTGTATTATTATGATTTACTATTGGTATGGAAACTTACCTCCATGCTCTGCGAATTTAGGGTTAGACAATATCTGCTTGGCAAATTTCAAGCCATTTTTGTATTGTTTGTGTTCGTAGCAGCGCTGAAAGATAATAATGTACTTATCATTAAGTGTTTAACCTCTATTATTAGATGCACCCAGAAGGGTCCTGGCCTGGTACATTTTATACATTGGTATATTGATGTAAATAAATTACACAGAATAATATTGTTGCTGTAAATAATTTTGTAGAAGATTGAGGCTCAAGAAAGCCCATGAAAACGCGTGGAATATGATTTGCATTATTTTATAAATTGAAGATAATCGCTACGAATGACAAGCACCACCAAACCGAATTGTGTTTACAATCGAACTTACCAAAATTCTTTTGAAAAGTGCATTTTCTTTGGGTGGCAATGGGTTACTAGGCGGCATTTTGTTCGAATAAAATGAAGTATCTTTTTATTATTTCACTAATAAATTGAAATAATTCTAAAAACCTCGTGGCTATAAACCAAAGAAGTCGATGAAGGATTGCTGTCTATGGGCAACAAGAGCAGGTCACGTGACCAAATTGCCAGTGCACAGATAACTTTCAACATTTTTTAACCTCTTTGCTCTGCATTACACAGTAAGAATATTAATTAGAAAAAAATGATGACTTATCTTATTAACATGAAACATGTAGTTAAAAATAATATTATAAACAGAATTTCAATATTCTTGCCAAATAAAGCTTTTACTGTTTTTGTACTAAATAATAACACAAACACTGAAATAATATTTTCGAAAAAATATTTGTAGGAGTATGAGATTACGAGCAGTTCTTTATCAAATACTTGCCCCTCACAGTCAATTAATTATTGTCCTTTCCAATTATATATAATTTTTAAATATTTTTCAAAATGAAACTTTTACATAATTGTAGGAATTTCTGTCTGTGCCAAGCAGAGACAAGTGTCAATTTAGTGTCCTTTGTCATTTGGTGTCTGTCCTGTCACTTTCATTCATCATTTGGAGATCTGTCAAAGTCAAATAATATACGCTATTATTTGTCGAAATTAAGTAAAAAAACTTGATAAATTAACTGTTAACTTTATCCAATCGCGTTTCATTCACACAAACTACATTTTATATTGTTAAAGTAACATGGGCATAGAAAACATGCGTCGCTGGCCTATGTATATTGTGTTTGCTGTGTGTATTTTGTTGTTACTTTCACTATTTAATAGCTGGAGTGCGGAAAATGTATTGCGAAACAGAGTTTCAGAAATAAGTATACAACTTCAGGAATGCTCCAAGCAACAGACAACCTGCATGGAGGAGTCATTAACTTTGCTCGAACAACGCGACAGTTATCTGACCAAGGTGAACGAATTAGATAAACAAAAGTCTAAATTGACTGATGATGTAGAAGAATTTAAGACTAAGCTTACGAAATCTGAAGGCCAGGTGAACCACACGAAGGTAGATGTGGAACTATGTAAGACAGAGTTGCAGTCGTTGAAGAACCTACAGGTGAGCAAGACAGCTATTGTGGAGACCTTGCGACTGGAAAAGGACACTCTAACAACACAGTTAGCTGAAAGAAAGCAGAAGATTGATGAGTTAGAGAAAGAGATAGAGAGGTTGAAACTAGCATTGACCACCAAAAGTGCTGCCAATTCATCTGTAGCCTCCAAGGTGACTCCAGCAGCTCAACCACCAAAAATAAGCCCAGCCCTAAGTGCCCACAATCCTATAAACGAACCAGTCTTGGAGAATAATGATGCTAAAGAAGAAATAGAAGATACAAATGCCTTGAATGATGGCAATGAATTTGATCCTCAGTTACAATAAGTAGTAGTATACTTAGTTTATGTTGTGGTGGTCTGGTGGTGTGATAATCAATTACCAAGAGGACAAAGTATGAGGCTGATGGTAGAAAGGCTGTAAGCTAAATAGTGTACATAATAACAACTTGTATTACTTGAAAGTTCTTATGAAACTTAATTCGTCTTTCCAAGCAATTATATGAATTATATTCATGTTTTTACAAAAAGCATTGCGAGTCATACTGAATTTACAAATAATTACAGTTTACTCATTTGAATATACTGAGAAAAGCTGTACTAGTTTCGAGTCAGACAGGGACTCTTCCTTATGAGCAGCAGTTGTGGGGATGTTGACAGTAAGCTGCACAGCATTGCCTTGACTGTGCAAACTGCTCATTAGGAAGAATCACATCCACTCTAAATGACGTGCAAGTCATAATGAAATTTTTTTCCCTTTGGTATATTGTTATTGATGTGGTTAGATATGGAATTTTAATGTGATTTCAGGTATATGCCTTAGATTTAATAATTAGGTTAAAATGATTGATAACAACAAATCACTGCCCTGTAATGGCATGATATTTAATTCAACAATACATTATGATAATGTTATCATTGTTTCCATTTTTAGTATTAATGAATTTTAGACTGTTATAACAAACAAATGAGTTTTTGGAATTGATAGTTATTTTAGGAAATCCTCATTATCCTTTATCACTTTTCGTAATGTGTGTAAAATTGTTAAAGTGTCTAATCTGCCTTATAGACATTTTTAATGATTTAATTATTGAAACTAATTGCATTTACATATACAGGTGATAGTGAATGCCTTTCTACTGTCATTGTTCCATGAATGTATTTTATTATTCTATTTTAATAAGTAACTATTATTCTATGCAATTAAGGTAGGGTGGATTGAACTACATAATTTAATTTTGTGCAATTCGAAATGAAGCCATAATTCATACTCCATAGAGGTAATATTAGATGTATTTCGTAAATCACGAGTTATGTTAGTACATGGATGTTGGATTTTGCTAGTTAATAAATGCCATGATGGTGCCAGAAATGTGTATTAAGATCTGACATGTGTAATTTATTTATTTTGCTCAATTTTCCAATTTATATCCATTAAATTGATTCGAATTTATATGCCTCCTTAAGTCCTTAGTAAACTGATCCAATACTATGGTAGTTAATGAAATGTGCAACATGTTCTAAATTATATTGTCCTATAATGTACATGTATTATTATGACTAATGTTAGTATTGTTTTCATAATTATTATCTTTTATAGTTGAGGAATAAATTGTATAGATTTTTCCTTTTTTATCGGTTCTTTTATTGCATTTTTATCAATTTGTCGTTAAAACTCAAACCTACCACATTATGTTGGCTATTAAATTTTATACTCTCTTTTAATGTTCAACATTAGTAAAAGTCGTGGTGGCTCGGAGGTTTAAAACGCCCGCTTCTCATGCATGAGGGATTTTCACTTGTGGGTTGTGGTCTTGGGGGCGGGGCATTACTATTTATACCAGGATCATACAAAGAATTGATCAATGCGGGGATCAAACCCACGACAGCGACGTGTCGCCCAGCCACTGCACTAACCGTGCAATCAAATTGTCCTGTAACAAGCATATTATTTCTAAATAATGCAGTAGGTAGACTGCATGATGAAAATATGCAGGTCGCCCCATGGCGTGTACGACATTCTTGTATGAAACTATGAAGGCCTTTGTTCTTCAATACTAATTGATGGGAAAATTACATTCGCATGTAACTCGTGTATTCCAACAATTTTAATTGTAGGTAACTTATTTTATTGTCACGTAAAAGGCTATCGCTTCAATCATAAAAATAGACACATTACCTGTTATCGGGAGGTCATGCCATGCAATTCGCTTTGAATTTATTACTGAACTCGGTGAAATGATAGTTTAAATCCATTTTCAACGTAAAAGTGTTTCGATGTAATCAATACGGCACCACAAGGAAAAACATTTGTTTTGTCTGGTACTAGTAACTCCTGTACTGACGTAGTCGTCGTTGGGTAAACAAACATGTGTTGAATATTACACATCACACACAAGTCCTAACTGAGAACAATAATTTTCAGAAAAGAACAAAGAATTCATGTTGCTCGGGAATCGAACGCACGATATGTTGCACAGCAGTCGCCCCGTAAGGCAACCGCGCAGTCAATCAATCATAACTTTCCATATAAGAAATAAAACTCAGAAATATATCTAAATAAGTTTTATTTACCTTATTATACATGTCTAGCATAATCAAAACAAAATTATTCCCATCGCCATTACTTCACAAGTAATGAATTAACAACACAAAACTTAAAGTAATTAAAACTAACAATTGGCAATCTCATTTACAATGTATAATAATATGTCGAATTCTTACCGTACATACGATAATAGACACGATCAGATTCCGAAGTAAGGCACACCACAGCAACAAACTGTGATATGACCACTTAGTTCAAGTTAGTTCCATGAAACCATTGTCCGAAGACAGTCTCAAATACCATACCGCCACTTCAAATATATCCCTCACAATGCAATGTAAACTTCACGACCAACTTGCAATTTCAAATCATGACCCGTAAACGCCCATTGTATATACCATCATGATTTGTGAACCTACCATTTTGATAATTATGAGATTAAATAAAATAAGCACAGTACATTTTTTATAACACTGTAAAGTGTTTTTGCACTAGGTAAGTTAATATCGCTATAACTACCCACTGAATGACACTCCTTATAAAACCTGAAGCGTATTCGACATAAAATATTTTACGGCTTCCATAACAAAAAGATTCGAGTAAAACTATGTTTAAAACTAAGATCTAAACTTCGTAATTATATACTATTCCTATTTAATACAGGCTAGAAGTCGGTGGTAAAAAGAAAACGCATTGACAGAGAATGAGTGTACATTTGAGACACTGGAACCATCAATTAACATCTATATTGATCAATCAAATTGATAAAGGCCATCCTCCCAATAAAAATAGTCCCAATCAATATCATATGTTCGTTAAATGATGGTGCCTTGTTCTTACATGAAGTAAAATGATTACAATATCAAGAAAAAGAGACAGTATATTCATAAAACATACAAAGCTGTATGCACAAGTGTTTATTTTAGCAGACACATGTAAAAGCTATTTTCAAATAAAGAAAATATTTTTTTTTATTTTATTTTGTGTAGGAATGTGTACATTATTTGTAATACTGTTAAATCTATTTTAGTCCACAAAGTACATATAAGAGGCAAACAATAAAGTAGGCAAACTTAATATAAATGTATTGGCTTTGTCACTTAAGAATCTTAGATGTGTTAAATAAAAACTTTGGTCAAGTACAGAATACAGTAACAAAATGTTATAAAATTATTACTAGAGTACAAATTCATGTCAAGAGGTATAACTTGGTCACATTGTATACTACAGTATCATAAACATACATAAAAATAAATGCTCTAACATAGAAAAATACAATATCTTCATATCACATGGTTTACAAGTTGTAAAAATTGCATCTTTCTTAATTTTACTGCCAAACTCAGTTAAAAATACAATTAACAGTAACATGCATAGTATGCTTAAAATTATCATGTTGCAAGGATAATAGGAATCATTTTTGTTTAATGAATTCAGTAGCTTTAGGAACTCTTCTTGCGACTAAAATGATCCCTAGAGCCCTTACTATAAAATAACAAACATTAAAACTATTTCATAACAATTATTACAAACTTGGCAACATTAGTTATTTACATATGGAATTTGACAGTAAAATTATTCTATTTAAACTTTCTTCAAGGCTTCTTCTTTAGCCACTTCCTCAAAAGCAGCCAGCAAATTCCTCCTGCACTTACTCTCATCTGTGTACCGTAATGCCCAAATTATATACTCTCCAACATTGAGAGGGTCTTCAGAATAACTAATTTGTACTTTACACTTCCTCTCATACTTCATGGCTTCAGTGCTTCGGTTATTCCTTGTTCTAGTAAATTCTATGTAACCATTACATTCTACAGCTAACTTAGGCAACTGAGCATTGAGTGCATCATGTGATCTATCAGAGTCTGTGCCACTAGTGGAGGGTAGACAGTCACCCTGTCCCACTTCGAGGTTGGGAGGTGTGATCGACACACACTTCCTCTTCACTTTACGCATACCATCACCCTTACTACTTATCTCTGAATTATCCTCAGGGAACGACCTTTTAAGTGGGTTGTGATCTGTTTTCTTAACTTTTCCTTCATCAGGGCCAGTGTTGTCAGTCTTTTGGTTATTGTCTATGCTAATTTCTTCTTGAGGCTGGCAACCCTCAGCCCATTCAGGGCTGTTGCAGTTAGATCTAAGCAGTCTCCTTTTGTGACTTCTTTCTTTAGTCCTGATAATTTCAGGTGAATGGTGTGGACTAGCCAGGATTGAGTCATTTTTTCTGAAATAATTATATATTTATGAAAATTTATTTTATAATGATTTTAAAGCAAATTTTCTAACTACTTTTTACTTGATAGTCATAAATAAGGATATATGGTAGAATTAAAGTTCACATGAAATTGTGAGCATTTTAGGATTGTTAATGGGTAGTAAGTAGGATTTAGTAACAAAAGAAACCAAAACATATAAATACTAATTTTAATTGACATTTAGAAAATAACAAACCTTTGCAAAGTTTCTTGTCTAGTTTGGATCTTGTCTATGCTTTCAACAGATGTGAAATCATGGCGAGAACATTGCATATCATATTTTAGGAAAGCTGTAACTTTCTTTCTTGTTTTTATTGTTCGGCCAAACCACTCAAGCATTGCATCATCAGATAGGTACAGGGCTAAGTTGTATCTTTCATTGTCAATCATGCGCTTATACCATGTGATGAAAGAACGGGCCTGCTGACGCTCAGAAAACTTGTTATTGGTATTATTATTTGTTTCTGGAGGTGTCTTTTTAAGTTTTGATTGGTTTGGTTTGCGTTTACAAGGAGTTGCTGGTGATGACATTTTCTGAAAAATGAAGATCATTCAAATTGAGTTGAGATAAAACTGGTTTTTTTTTCTATAGATTAAAATACTATTCTACTAATTCTATGATAGTGGTTCAGATAAATATGTACCTAACTACCTTCACAAATAAATAAAAGATAAGTAAAGAAGGTAGCAACTAGCAAAACTTTTTGTAAACAACTGCAATGTTTATGTTATTGTTATTGCTAGGACGATAGGCATGATGAAATATAAATACTTACACTTATCAGATAATATTTCAACGACCTTTTGAGAATTCTTTGCGTCGTGTGCCAAGTCTAGACGAAGCCTTGCAAGTCGTTTCTTACTTTCCTGAATGTAAGCAGTTATTGATAAGTTTATTTCTAACAGTTCCTTATGCAGCAATGTCACTGATTGCGTCTTCGAAGATATATTTTCTGCAAAAACACACATCATTTTAGTTTGTCATTGAAAAACAATTGAATCCTGACAAATTTCGATATTTAAAACATAACCTACTTAAACACTTGACTGCTTCAAAAGTTAAATGCTCACGGGATAAATCATCAGATATTGTCGAATTCATCTTACGTTAGCGTTTTTTTATATTAACATTCGTAGATTTATTCACAAATCACTTTCTAATAGTAATCTCACTAAGTTCTAACAAGCGTCGTTTTCGCAAAACAAAATGGCAACCATAAACTACTTCGTTTTGACTTTGACAAAAGGTAAAGACATAATTTAAGCATGAAAAATCTTTTTATCTTTCTTCGTTACAGAGTTTAGCATGTATTTGAAAGAGAAAATAAGAAGCATAATGCTAACTTTCTCTGTAACTGGAACACAATGGAAGTAAAAACAAAACAGAAGTTTCCAAAGACAATTTTTTTTATCATTTCGCATGAAGGTTTTAGGTCTTCGATTGTGGTTTTCAACTAATAATTAATAATTATTAATCAATCAACTAATACAAATTATAATCAATGATTGCTTTTTATACAAATATTGTTGTCGAAATAGATTGACTATGTGTGTATGAAGTATTTTTAATCCATTGTTGTAAGTCTGTATAAAGTTATCCATTGCTCAAATATTTTTAGGTGTGGACCAAGGACTTTGAAAAATCTATCAAAAAAATGTTTATATTTTATTTATAGCCACGGCAATTCAAATAAAATGTTGGTTTTATAATTTTCTAGTCAAAAAATACGATAAAATCAAATAAAATATTTATTTTTGCCAGAAAACCGAGATAGGTTCATTTAAACCATAGACAATGTGTTAATTACGTGAACGATTGGACGGCTGAGGAAGCGCAGGGGAGCGAGCTTCCTTGGGAGTGGTAATGCGCCGAACCAATCTACTGCGTTCTTGCGATCATTGACTTCGGCCATTGGTCTATCTTTTGTCAACCAATCATCGAAAAACCAGTGAGGACCCAATGTAAGTTTACAATTTATTTTCACCGAATATTCTGTTGTGATGGCTGTGCCGGTATTTGTTTGGAAATACGGAAAAACTATGAGCTTTCAAGTAAAAATTACAACAATGTCTGACGAAATTACGTGAAAAGTAGCAGCCATTTTGGTTACGTTGCATTCCTTGGCCTCGCAACAGTGACGTGTTTAGTTTCCCTGACGGAATTCCACATCTTCAAGAGTATTTTGGTTTTGTTTTCGTCTTGATTAATAGATTCGATTCTTACCAGAAACAAAGAAGGTAAAAAAATATATAACAAAGTGGAAGTTACAATACCTATTTTACTGTCAAGGCGATTAAGCGGATCAAATCTCGTATAATATTATCACTATCATGCAACCTTCGTTCTTATCTATATGAAAATAAGTGTGACGCATATTTCTATTGGAACCACAAGAACATAATATTTAAAAAACGTGAGCAATGCAACTTCGCACTGCTGAACTTTGATTTTAGACGGCTCTGATTTGTGGAACCGTGGTATTTTTAAGAATAGGTAACTCTCTGATGATAAATAAAAGCTTTTGTAAATAATTACCTACTTACTCTAAAATTATTAATCATAAATTTTAGTGTGATCGACGATGGAGCACGCTCAGCTTCAGAGCTCTGACGGAGCCCAGGTGATGACCCTGAATGGTCAGCAGCTGCAAGTGTTGCAGATGAATAACACTCCACACATGATTCAGGGGCCTAACGGTCAACAAATTGTTGTACATGCTGTGCCATCTAGTGCCCCGGCTATACAGGTAATGTAACTACTGTTTACTACTCTACTGACAGGCATAATATTCCATATTAACCGTTTTATTAACTTACCTAACATAGTTACTTTTTCCTTAAAAATACTTTAATTTACAATTCTATCTTATTTTTATAAATACTTCCTATAATCATTCCTTCATAGTTCTTAAATTGTCACTTGACTATTTAAAAGAATTTATTGTTAATTTTGATTGAATAATCGGAGTGACAATTTAAGAATTATCTCCATTTTAAATCATATTTTTAACTGTACATGCAATCAGATTGGGACACCACAAATCCAGGTAGTAGTATCATTATTTTATATTCTAATTCATTTGAAGATCATACACAATTACACACTTTCTATTTATGCATTAAAGCTAATAAACAGATGTTTTATATAGGCAATCAAACATATCTTTGTCACCATTGCTGTTGTTATGTGATACAGATTTATTGACATCTGAGGATAGTACTCAGTCAGGAGTTAATATTGTAGTGAACAGATCAAACAACATAATGATATATGTATTTTTGTAAGATGTCATATTAAGTTTCTTATGAGCATATGTATGTTCTCTTGAGATAATATTTTTTTTTAAACTGGATATAATCTATTTGAATTAATTAAGATCCATCACTGAATTAAACGAGTTTGAATAATAAAATTTTGACATCTGTTTATATCTCATTAATTTACTTATGTATATTTATCACATATCATTCAACAAAATCTATTATAATTTCAGGTGGCGACGCCAAGTGGTCAGCAGTTACAACAGTTGCAAGTTGTTCCTATATCTAGCATTCAAGGTGTGTAAAATAAAAGAAAATATATTATAAACTAATTTGTATACTTGTCACTATATTTAACTAAACATTATCCAGTTCATTAAGCAACTAACTTACTGAATATGTTCATTAAATTAATTGTTATAGCCATGCTTACATGCATGTAATTTTTGTTTATGTAGATTGTTAGATAGCAAAAAAAGTCCAAATGAGTGGCCCACTATTTCCTGTACCTACACAAGTGAAATCCCAGGTGAAAAGTCTGTTATGAACTTATAATATGAAAGTGATATTTTGAAGAGTATGGCTATTTATGGGCATTCTAATGTGATAAAAATATATGTCCAATATCCACAAATAATGTTGTGTCATAATTTTACAGCGGGAGGTAATATACAGCCGATGCAGTTAGTCCAGACACCAGATGGACAGACATTTATCTACCAGCCAGTGGCAGCTAGTGCCCAACCCACCATTGATCAGCACCAGATCATACATCAACCTACCAGTAAGATATATTCAGTTTTTTACTAATAGAAATAACTATAATAAGTCGGACATCATGTCGGCTACAAGTACTGATAATCAAAAACTAACATCTGCCAATAACTTCTAGATCAGTTAGAATGATTGAACTTGAAAATGATAAAAACGAAGAGTGTTAGTTTGAATGGACTAATCTTTGGAACCACTGGTCCAATTTTTATAACTCTTTTCCTCTTAAATAGTGATATTTTCGTGGAAGGCTTATACACTATAAAAGCGGGTGAAACCGCGAGGAAGTGACTAGTAAATAATAAATATGCTTGTTCTGTTTCAGTGATCAACCTGAATGGTAATTTAGTGCAAGTAGCAGGACTCGGCAATGCGGTGCAGGCACAGCAGATCGTCAACCAGCCAAACCCTGTTGGATTGTTGGTATGATGAAAGAACAAACTTAACATTTATTACAGTAACTGCCTTATGCCCTCTATTTCGAAATTGTGTTTGTAAAATAATTTCATATTTTATGATACATTAGAAAACATATTGTATGTTTCAGTTTGGACTACTAAACCTAAAATGAAATGGAACTGTAGTTAAGACTGAAATGTAATTAACTCGTCGAGTACCGGTTTTATAGACACAATTAAAGAACAATAGGTCGCGGTCACCGGTGACCGCTTGGTGTTTGACAGATTAACTGTAATCAAATAAACCATTATTTTTCATATGATGACTTATTTTAGATGGTGAACAACAGCAATGCTGGTGCAAGCACATCTGTGTCGGAAGGTGCGTGCTCCTCAGCGGCCGGAGATGATGAGGAGCCGCTTCTGTACGTCAACGCGCGCCAGTACAAGCGCATACTCAAGCGACGCGCTGCCAGAGCCAAGCTGCATGAACAGGGCAAGATTCCTAAGGAGAGACCTGTAAGTATTGTTAAACTAGCTACTCCTGCTTGGCTCCTATTGATTGTAACGTAATGGTTTATAGCCTTCTTCCATTTATGGAAGTTGATGAACTAACAAACACAAATATAATTTTCAAATTTGAACCAGTAATTCTGGAGATATGCTTCTACTCTTCACTTATCGTCAGATCATCTGTCTAATTGTTTGCTCCCCCTCCCCCATTCCATAAAAAAGCTCTTCTATATTAATATATGTAATTTACAAACTAAAGATAGAACATATATTAAGAAAAATACTAATAATTACTGAATAATTTCTTTTTCCAGAAATATTTACACGAGTCGCGACACAGGCACGCAATGAACAGGATTCGAGGTGAAGGCGGCCGCTTCCACTCTGGCAGTAGGAAGTAAGTTTATAATACTTCTTGTTTTTATTGTACTCCATTTCATTTGGGAAGAGTACTGCGACTCCAAAACATATACGTATTTGAAGGTACTTCAGATGTGGTAACATCGTATTAAAGGCAATTGAATTATTTAATACTAGCAGTTGCCCGCGACTTCGTCCGTGTAGAATATGATGCCTGTTTTATCCCATAGGAGAATATAATCGGGATAAAAGGATCCTATCAGGACTATCACCTAAGACAACTACAATATTATGGTGTAATTTAAAAGACATAGCAACAGTCCCCTTCCCAAAAAAATTTTGTTTTTTTTTTTCATTTATCTACCTCATTATAAATGCACAATGTCTATAGAACTTTATATTTATTTGTTTTGTATGCGCTGGCATTACAGGAATATGGAAAATATGGAGCAACTCACCGACGAGCAGAAGATGCTACAGGACATCAAGCCAGATACAGTGTCTATAACTATCATTCAGGTAATTCAGACATTTTTGTTACTACTAGCTCCGGCAGCGATTTCCCATTCTATAAATCTGTCTCTGTACAAAATCTGTTCAATGCCCAGTAGTTTTTTCGTGAAAGAGTAGCAAACAGGGATCAACAAATGAATAGAGACAGAAGAGTATAAGTATTAGGAAATTCTTCATAGTATCTATTCACCCCTCTTCTGTATTTACCATGTTTTACTGTACATCACTTTCTTTCTTCTTATCATACATTCTCATAAAGTTTCGCATTTATAATATTAACCCGTCGAGCGTCCGCGTTCTTTACGCATTTCCTTATCCTTATGCATGAAATAGAAATAAAACAAATACAGTCAAAATAAAAACAAAACATTAATAATAGATTTTATAAAAGAAAAAGCAGCATGGAGCATTTTTTCTTATGATCCACCGGGTGCTCATAAGGACGCTCGAGGGGTTAATAAGACGAAACTCAAATAGTTCCTTACTTATCAAAAATTTTACATTTTCTTGCAGGATGATGAAGGCCAAGAGCAGCCTGCTCAGTGGAGGCGGCTAGCACCGCAACAAACTCTTCAATCAGCATAGCATTCGTCTGATGAGGGCGAGGAAGATGACTCGGTGATCGAGTGACTGGCACTCTGAACTGTGCAGTCTCGCCGTCATTTACATTGGACTAATATTACTTCAAGATTCAGTGATAAGTGCTCAGTGTCCAATAAATACGCGGGACGATCATTCTGATCAACATTCCTACAATATCCAGGAAAGGACTACTTAAAGGCTGATGTGAATATACTTTGGGTGTTGCAATCTGACCCCGGAGCGGTAGCACCAGTCACCACGCTTAGTACAATCGACATAATTTGAACTTGACCCACCTTAAGCTTATATTTGGAGATGTTTTTTATGATTTCGTACGATTTTCGACGAAGTGAGTTATGGATTAAACTTGTCGATTGTATTGTATTAATTGTAATTTTTGATACCTACTGCAGCAAAGGGCAAAGTATTCTCAGTGGTCAGATTGTGTGAGGCTAGATCCGTTTCAATTCAATTTTAAAGTAAAATATTAATATAATCTCTAATCTAAGTAAAGTGTCGTGATTTCGGAATTTTGTTTACCGTTTTGATTCCAAAATTATGGTGTGATCTGTTTTTATTTGTTAACTTTTGTTAATGTTATGTGGAAGGAATTTTTCTAAGTTTTATGATGATTGTGTAATTATAGGTTATTGGACTAAGTTTAAAAATTGGTTTATGATACAATAGTATTTCTTGAACCCAAACAATATATTAATTGATTTTAAGTTTTAACAAATTATTATTAAATATTTTTTAGTGGCCAAAGAGCTGGGTTTTCCAATTATTGAACAGTTTTCAAGTGTTTAGGCGATATGTGTATATATCATATGTAAATATTTATGTTAGTGATATTTGAAATTACTGACAACCCTTTTGTATGGCAATTTAAGTACAAAATAAATATGCACTTTAAAAAAACTGGGTTTTATTTAGACTTTAATTTAATAAATTCGTTGCTTGCCAACTAGTCAAAATTCAATACTTTTTTCGAACTGTCAAAAAACTGTTTTCTATGAGTTTTGAGCATAATCATATCAGTGGTTTTGAGATTATATATCGTGACGTCACATTTTTTAGAGGCACACCATACTTATTGCTTAAAAAATTGCTGAAAGGATACTAAAATTAATTTGGTCATAAAATCAATTAATGAAAGTGTGATTATTTTTAAATATCTTATTGTATTGAACAGTCGAAATAGTACCCAATTAGAAAAGCAAATGAGTTTGAAATTTTTATTGTAAAGAGATTCACAAAACATGTTACCAAATAAATCAGGTAATCAGGTAGATTAGTTGATTACAATTATAATTGGCATCAAACATAGTTTTGACATATTATACAACAAACTTATGACAAGTGAACTTCATTATTTAACTAATACTTATGACTACGTTTAACAATAAATACTAGTTATTTAAACACAATAAAATAATACATGATTCAACTAATCCTCTAAAACAGTTATGTAAAATTATAACAATAAAAAATGAGATACCAAACACAGTGAACAATTTATAAAATCAAGAATGAAGTTAAAATTATTTTGAGATATTTTTCGCTGAATTATTTTATGAGTCAGCTTAACAATATTTAACATATAGAAAACAAGAGATTGTTTGTTAATATCACTAAATATTAGATTATCCATTGCACTTACACCAATTCGATACTTGTTAGAACACTCATGTAAAAATCATATTTTTCATACTTTGCTGTAAAATGCTAAAATACTCGAGACTAAATAGAAAATTACTCATTAGTCATTATTTTGTAGGTAGTCTTAACATTAATATTATTTTTTTCAATAATGGTAGCTAATGTTCACATATAGAATGAGCTTGAACAATCACTATATCACTACATAGTATAAATCAAAGTCTCTATCCCCCGCCTGTCTGTCCCTATGTATGATCAGATCTTTAAAACTACGCAACGGATTTTGATGCGGTTTTTTTTAATAGATAGAGTGATTCTTAAGGAAGGTTTATATGTATAATACATGCATATTGCACCCGTGCGAAGCCGGGGCAGGTCGCTAGTAAACACTAAATTACTACCCACCTCATTTTGAGGCTCTTTTTAACCGACTTTAAAAAAGAGGGGTTCCAAGTCGGTTTTTAAACATAGTTTGTAAAAGAATTATTGACGAAACATTTCTTGTTGGGCAGTATAAAATCATACATATCTAAGAACTACCCTAAAATTAGTTGATCTTGGGTATAATATAATATACACTTTACTTACGTCAACTATTGAATACGAAGAAATAATACTTGAAACTATAAATAATAGCAGGTACAGATTTCTCCAATAATTCACGTGAATAATCTGTATATTTCAATTGATTTTACCTCATTGATTATCGACTATACTACAATAATTAGTAAAAAATTCATCATTTTGGCAGTGTACTTGGTTTAGTGGCGGTCTCCTTGATGCGTTGTATCTCGGTCTTGATGGCGGATATGAGCGGTATGGCTGGGTCCTCGGCCTGTAGCCTGCCCTCAGCCGTTATAAGCGCGGGGTTCACCGTCGGCCGCCCACCTAGGGACTACCAACGTTAAATTATCATCGAGTTGGCGTCCCATTGCTGTGTAAGAAGTTGGGTGTGATTGTGGAGTAGTTTTCTTTGGTAGTGTGTTAAAAATCCCTTCACCAGTACACATTAAGGTAACAAAGTCGTTTACTCCTCAGAGAAGTACCTACCTTAGATTTATATAGGTAAGTGTATCTAATGTATTACTCAATTATGGTTATGTTATGGTCGTTAGTTTACTGCCATGAAGTATTCCAAACTTTCCCTAAACCTATCGAAAATAAAAAAATTCAATACTTTTCTCAACCCTAACATCAAGCTACGTTTAGTTGTTGCATTTTTTATCAACCTACTTATCAATTTTAATTATTTCGCTGTAGGCATAAATCAAATATATGGTAATCATTTTATCTAGTTCCATTGATTAATATAGGTACCGTAAAATGGAGTGTATAGAGACATAAGAGGGGTGAATAGATATTGGGAAATTCTTCATAATATCGATTCAGCCCTCTTCTGTTCCTATTCGCCTCTCAATCCCTTTTACCATTACGTTGTTTACCTGTGGGGGAGTTTGTCCCCAGGCCCTGGTGGGTGGAGGCACCCGTCTCTCCGCCGCAGTCCGAGTGAACGACGTGCGAGGGCGACCGCCCTCTGTCTGCACTGGCGTTGATGTACTGGGACCGGCTCGCCTATACAGAAATATAGTATTCACTCATTTTATTTTTCTATCTACAGACTTCAATAAATCAAGATTAATATTCTATAAACGAATTTATTCAAGTTAACTATAGTTTCAAGCCACTACAGGAAGACAGGAACCCATATAGTCATATGATTATGGTAGCATGCGCAACCATCGACTAGTGAAGTCACCTCGTCGAACAGTCACTTAGACATAGACCTGCATATGTCCCAAGATCCCGAGGACGGACGAGGAGAGGGATGGCGATAAGGATGACGGTGCTGAAGTGCAGGTTGCTTCCAATCACGTCGGGGTCACCACTTTAGGGAACAGAGTGGAAAGTTCCCTAAGATCGGAAAAGGAGGATCCTCCGACCGTGCCTGGCGGGCTTTATTTATGCCCGACAGTTGTCCGTTGGGATTATCTATCCGTGTTAATTTGCATGTAAATTTTGCATGTGCGATGTAGGATTTTTGAGACGTCATCCGTTGACATGTACCATGTGTCGCCACAACTGATGATGTTACATTCTTACCCTGGTCCAGCTGACCTCCCCCTTACGGTATCCATAGCGGTGTATGGTGAGCCCGGGAGTCGAACGTTGTCGTTGCGAGCTTGAGCCAACTGCTCGGTTGAATCTGGAACTAATGTACAAACTTGATCTATGATTTGGTACACTCCTAATGATGTTGACTTATGAGGCATGGGGTAACGGTATAGGTATTCTAGCACCACTGCTCTACCCGCTAATGTTGTTAGAAGGGACCTATGTTTTTGACAGGAACTGGGCAACAGCGGTTGGCGATATATTAAAGAAGGGCCAAATTAAAAGTACTATTAACAGACGAGCATGCATGAAAAGATTGATGACTGTTGATGAAGCGAAAAAGGTATGTAGGAATCGTACTAATTAGCGTTCCATAGTCTAAGCCTATCTCCATGGGAGACAGGCGTAAAGTTATGTATGTATGTATGGGCAACAGCTCTCTCTGATAAGCATATATGAACCTTTCAATTTGCTATCTCTGGCATGGTTTTGGCCACGCATGGCAGGTACTCGAGAAAATTTCAAACCCTCTCCTATGTTTTTTATGGCCCATGTCCACCTCACGCCCATGTCCACCTGGAACACCAGAGGCGTTACAAGTGCGTTACCGGACTTTTGGGGATTAGGAGTTTGAGGATCATTGGGGATTCAGGAATTGGGGAGATTGGGGAAGGGGAGGGTAATTGGGCCTCCGGTAACCTCACTCACACGACGAATCACAACGCAAGCGTTGCTTCACGTCGGTTTTCTGTGAGGCCGTGGTATCACTCCGGTCGAGCCGGCCTATTCGTGCCGAAGCATGGCTCTCCCACACTTGTGGAGGAGGCTCAAAGTTTTTTTTTAATATATTTGATGGGCCGACGTTTGACCACATTCATAGTTCAGGAAAAGACTTTTATGTGTGATTCTGATGGTGAAGTACTTATTAAATATTTCTACAATAGGTACCTGTAGCGACCCCAGCATTTTGCGTCCCCTTTTCTTTAGGGTCCCGTTCCTCCACGGTATAAGTATCCTGAGAATTGGGACTGGATCCGACACTGCCGAACAGTGTGAATGCATCATCCATCAGCTCGTTGAACCTCTGCCTCATGCGAGAGGCTCCTGGCTCCTTGCGAGCTGATGTAGCAGATCTTGCTGGACTTGATGGTTTAGAGGCTGTGGAGGAAATTCGGTTGAGAAAGTTATATTTTTTTTTTTGTTGAAAGCTTTAATTAATCTAAGGTCGAGTAGTGGCAATGTGTGATTACTTAGTTAAGGGTTTTAGGTTTGATTCTTGACATCCTGGTGAGACGAATTACCTATTTTAAGTATTTTATTTATTATTTAGTTTTCAAAAAAATCAGTAGCAGCACATAATAGGGTTTACCCCTTTAGGGATTCATTATGAAATTACCCAGACTGATGAAAAATGGATGTTACTATTTGATACGTGGTCATTGCGCATGCGCATATTTCTCAAATTTAATGCTCATGATATGAAAACTTACAATCCTTAATCCTCTGACAATGCAGATCCCAGACGAGAGGTCCAATAACTCCTGGATCCTTGTCTATGCTCCCTAGTCTTACTAATTGGGACGCCATCTGCCGTCGAGGCACGACGTCTTTGCTAGCGTCTTTATTCTTCTTTGGGGATACTGCTGGGGAGTCGATGTCCAGGTGACGCACTGATACCGGTTCTAATATACGAGAGAGTGGTTCTACTACGTTGCCTCTGAAATATGAAGGTGTAAGTACAGAAAATAATTTAATTTAAACTGAAAATTGCTGAGGAGTTAAATTAGGGTGTTGACCAGAATATTAGATCTTTGGAAAAGATCAAGAAGGAAATCCTTGATTATGTATTTTTCTGTGAAGGGATAGTTGGCGTCATATGTTCTTCAAAATAGTAAATTTTTGATTTAAACATATTTTAATGTAGCATTTAGGTGCAATACTTACTACACATGTCAGCACAGACCAGAAGATAACAAACAAAATCCATAATTTATTCTTCTGTACAGGCGTAAAACTTCATTTACAAGAAAAATCGACCAAATATTTTCCTTACCTTGGGAAAGCATTGACGGAAGGCATCGAGAGGTACGAGGTTGGAGTAGGTGGCGCTGATGGTTGCCCACTGTCAGAGCTGTCCAGTCCAGCAGCTTCTAGCAGACTATCTGTCGTACCCACTGGAAGAGGGATATGAGATATGTTTGTCACGTTCGTTTATTGTTAATGAAACTTATTTGTGGTTGGCACTATGTTTTTTTTCTATCAGACGTCAATATAATACAAACTTTGTAAACATCAAAAAGTTTCCTTCTTTTAATCTTTCTCCACATCCCCTATACCTACATTTATTTCGTCCTTTCCATGATATTCGGGCTTCTTCTAACAAATCAGTTTTCATCAACAGCTTATAAATGCCCACTGTTGAGCAAAGCCTGTACTCACATGAAGAAGGTTAGAGCATTAATCACCACGCTTGCTCAATGCGGGTTGGCGATTTCAAACTTATAATTAGAAATTATAAGCCCAGGCTTCCTCACGATGTTTTCCTTCACCGTTGGTCAGTGGTGTCTAAATAATCTAACAGTACATATAACTCGGAAAATGTCGCATTGGTACTTGCCGTTGGTAGGTTTCGAACCCGCACCCTCGTGCATGAGAAGCAGGCGTCTTCAACCGCCGGGCCACCACGACACATATCAGTTTTTCTTCATCTATTCTCGTCACACTATTTCAATCGTCCGTCCCTGATTTACTTGGCTAATAGAAGTTAAATCTTACTGTGTATATATCAACATAGTGTCAATGTGACTTACCCCTCTTCTTCTGTGGCATTCTGAGAGCATGTGGCTTCTTCTGTCGACGACGGAATGCTGTCGCCACCTCCGACACTCCAGAAGAGGTTGATGAACTAATTTACAAGTAAACAGTGATTGACCCGATTTGATTCGTTAGTGTCTCTTCAACTTGTATGAGATAAAAAGAATAACAGCAACAATTAAGTTTTGATCTAATTCTTTTAATTAGGCAAAAAGTTAATGGACTTATAGATCAAAAACACCAATAAATAGGACCCCTGTGTCACAGAGATATATTAATTTGTACTTAGGTGAGTGCTTACCTGCTAACAGCACTAGCAGCTCTGTAAATCGGTAATAGAGTACTACTGGGCCTCGTCCTACTTGGTGACACCACGCTGATCAGCTGGAAAAGAATCAAATAATAATTAACTCTAAAAACTGACATCCTAAGGCCTAATATGTTTAAAAAACGCTTCGTATCCGAACAAAAAATCAAGTAGTATTGGAAAATAAGAAACTACGATAATTACCATTCCTTCCAAAATCTTCTCATGTATTTCCTTTCATCCTCAGTCATCATTCTTTAACTGTCATGACTTTTAACGGTAAACATAACATAACATAACATCACGCCTTTTATCCTCGAAAGGGTAGGCAGAGGTGCACATTATACCACTGTGCAATGTAACACCCACTTTTCACTATTAATGTTATGAGTCCCATGTAATAGGGGGTGAGCCTATTGCCATATATTGACTTTCAACGGTCTTCATAACAAATACCTTACCTACCATTGATTGATTGATTATTCAAATGACTTACCCTTCCATCTTTCTCTTCATGCACCTGTTTCAATTGATTCCTCTCTGCTTCTCTTAATAACTCATTTCTGTAAGCTCGGATGGAAGCTGCAGATTTCATTGTCTTTTTTCTGTAACATTATCATGTTCGTTAGACCTCCCTAATAGTTTTGTGCTAAACTTAGAGAGGCCTAATTGTTAATATCTTTCCCCCATCCTCAATGTCTAAATCCCCAAAAGTGTGGGAGAGCCATGCTTCGGCAAAAATGGGCGGGCTCGTCCGGAGTGATACCACGGCCTTACAGAAAACCGAAGTGAAATAACGCTTGCGTTGTGTTTCGTCGTGTGTGTGAGGTGACCGGAGGCCCAATTACCCCCATCCTCTCCCCAGTCTCTCCAAACCCCGAATCCTCTACAATCCTCAAATTACAAATTCCCAAAATACCGGTAGCGCACTTGTAACGCCTTGGTGTTTCAGAGGTCCATGGGCGACGCCGATTGCTTACCATCAGGTGATCCGCCATCCGCCTGTTCGATTACCGGCTTATGCCATAAAAAAAGTCTGGCAATGGAATTTTAAATTCTATGGTGCCGAAGATCGACAAAGAAATGTTGTTACTGTACCTGTGAGCCAGACACAAGAGAGCCAACAATACGAGCAGCAACAGTACGGCTACTGTAGCTCCCACAGCCAGTGCCCATAGCTCAGTACCATGCACGCCACCCCCTGCATCTCCTTCCAAACCCTCCGCTGTTTTTAGGTACGCTGCTAAAGTAAATGCATATCGTTGGTCACTTGATCTTCTAACAAGGAAAGACCTTCAAAAGGGTTCCTCGTGGCTTAAATAGTTCGTAAACACAGTTTGTCTCGTTTTATGTAGAAATCAATGAAAAAGCGGAAAATTAAAACTCAGTGACCACCAAAATATAGGTAATTGAGAAAAATAAAGAAAAAAAATGTATCTAATGCAACGAAGATTCATTTTTAATATTACGATTTATGTATACTCACGCTCAGCTTTGGTAGTGACAACAGCACCCAATTCTCTCGCGACTTCAGCGTCTCTGACCAGCCGCATATCTCTCGCAGCCACCGCAGCTGGCACAGCTCTGCCACCGACCAGCACCACGTAAACTATCTGAATGCTACCCGTTTCTGGAGACTGGAGAAGAAAAAATAATAAAGAAGACGTTACCTTTGAAAACATCACAAATTATAAGATATATGTTTTTGCATTAGATAGCTCGCTTCTTGAAGAAGAGTGCTTAAAAATCTTTCCTTCGAAACGAAATTTTAGAGACACTTCGTGAAGTAATATTAGTACCTCTGTAATATTTTGTATATGAACTTGCACTGGCGGCTGCTGCTCCGGCTTCAAAATCTCCCGCTTAAACAACATCGTCTCATTAACTTCCGATTCTAGAGGAATGTCTATCGAGTCTTCTTTTATTTCTTCCAATTGCTCTCTATCAGTCACTTCTCTTTTACGAATGGACACAGTTGGTGTAGCTAGTATCCAAGATTCTACTTCATTCAACTTCGTAGCCTTTATCTCAGCATTTAGAGTTAACGTATTAGCGTCAATAGAAAACATTTCTATATTAGCTGGGTACACAAATTCTCTGGAAGACTCTAGAAGCTTCGTGTTTGAATTTTCATCATTGTTTATCATCGTACCTACAATTGAATCTATAGGAACCATTGATGCATCAATATCAAGATATTTGAATGGCGAGTTAGTGCCTTGTGGGCCTACTGGACTAATATTATTATCTTTATTCACTGCAAATGAATGGACGTCATGTTTCTTTCGAGCAGGTGGTGCGTCGAGAGATTTGATGATGCCCAGGTGACGCTCTTGTTGCCTGGAACATATTAGAGTAAGGATTGGAATTGACAATAAATTTACCTGAAGATGAAATTGAGCAAAAAGCTTTTCTACATTTCTACGAACAATGTTGACTAGATGACAGGTGTCCAAGATGCATGGTGTATTTAACGAAGATGAGATGATGAGTATAGAGCGAGTGAAGCTTGGCTAAAAGTAGAAGGTATTTGAAGGGGAACATCAGTTACCTCAAGAAGGCTTTCTGGTACAACCTAGCGAGTCTCAATTGCAGGCTATCTGGTGTGGATCCCTGAATGACAGTGAGGAGCCAGTACCTTCGATCATCGGGGATCTCTGGTTCCAAGCTACCTGGTACGCCAGGCTCGCCACAATTTAGCACGCACTCGCCTGTCGATTTGTCTGTCACCGCCTGTAATAAAACTTATGTTATACTAGCTTTTACCCGCGGCTTCGCTCGCGTCACAAAAGAATAAAAAGTAGCCTATGTGACATATACCAATATACACAGCGCCATCTATACCAATACTTTTGTTTTTCCTCGGGAATATCAATTTTTTCCTCACTTTCCGATTTATAATATTAGTAAGGATTTGTTATAGTTAACCTAAACTGACTCAATTTTTTTATTAAATTTATTTAACTTCCTATTGTAATCATTCAATGTAATAGAGCTAAGTTAAATCAGTCATAGTTCCTATAGTAAATTTTATTAATAGGGCTGAATGCTAACATAACAAAGAGTGTATTAAAAACCACGTTACCCTTGCATGTCTGTGTTACATTAGCATAACGAGACAAAAATTCAACAGCAAAGGGGGTGGGTTAAACGAATATTAATGACTCAATTACAAAACTATTATCCCACGAAACTTTCATGAAGTTGAAGTAAAACCTGAAGTTGTTGTAATTATAAATTCAGGAACTGTTTAAAGTTGCGAAGTTTAAGTAGGTTTACGTAAAAGACACACGATAACTAATAAGTCTTGACACCTCGATGACTCGCTTTCGCCCACAGGTGTACCTACACGGTAAATTCAACTTTGGTTAACTTCTTTAGCGATTCCTGTACCATGTTAAATAATGTAACAGAAAAATAAAAGATAGCTTTCTCTGTTTCACCCGCTGGGCCGCTGCTCGGCTTCTATTGGTCGTACTGTCGTAGCCTAGTATTATAGGTATAGCCTAGACAGTAGGGTTATTAAATATTAATTAATATTAGATAGATTATGATATATATAGAGTACTAGCTACTTCCTCGCGGTTTCACACGCTCTGCTCAGCTCCTATTGGTCGTAGCGTGATGTTTTATAGCCTATAAGCCTTCCTCGATAAATGGACTATCCAACACAAAAAGAACTATTCAATTCGAATTAGTAGTTTCGGAGATTAGCGCGTTCAAACAAACAAACAAAAAAATTAACTCTTCCGCTTTATATAATACTTAATAGTATAAGATAAGATAGGGCCTATACCCTTCCTCGATAAATGTATTGTCCAACACAAAATAACTCAATTCGAACCCGTATTTCTGAAGTTCGGGGCTTTTAACTCTTCAATCTAAGATCAGCACCGTTTACTTACCTGTGGTGGATAAGAATCCAGGTAGACAGTAGCAAGGACTGTGGTAGTCCGCACGACTGGTGTAGAAGGTTGCACTGGTGCAGGGAGGGGCGGATCTGGTGGTGGCGGTGGTCCATCTCCAGATCCTGTCCAGAAGAAGTCTTCCAGTCGCGGCGTGTGTTGGTGCTGGTCTTGGGATACCAGCATGTATACTGTGTAAGAGAAATAAACCGTATTTTGATGAATGGTACGTATTTTTATAGAAAACTAGCAAACCCGGCGAACTTCGTTTCGCCACCAGACGGCTTCGTTTTGTGTAACATTCTTTGCTATAAACCTCACGGAGACCGAGACCTTTACAACGAATGCAAAACCGTGGAAATCGGCTATCGCGTTTTGGAGTTATAGCGTCAGGAAGGAAAACTCGACTTATTTTTATATATATAGTAGATTATGAAATGGAGCAGAGACTGTTAGACATTTTCGCCTTGACGTAAGTATTTAATTAACATGGGATTGTTAACATATTTTTTTTTGTCACTAATCAAATATTATTTAAGTCCATTTGGAATTTTCCCAAGACATTAGGATTCTCCAATGACGACAGCTGAAAATAACTAGCCTTTATTACAAACCCGAAGTCTTTTCATGATTAGAAATTACCATTAAAATTACAAACGTTTGCTGAAATTCGTGATAAAAAATAGTAAATCCATACCTACATAGGTATATATATAAACGGTTGCTTAACAAATGATTTTAACGGAATGACAGAAATGAAAGACATTGATTTATTGGCATAATTAATGAAATTAATGTTTCATGAATTTCAGCGAATTACATCGGAAAATTCCTTCAATTGCCTACCCACTAAAATATTTACCTAATTCAAGTCAACAGTTAAGCAATTACTGTAAGTTTTTATATGTAGGTAAGTAATGAAAACGATTTGTAAAGAAGTACAAGTAGGTACTAAATTCTTGTAAAAATAATTTCAATTGCTGAATATTGTGCTTAGGTCATACCTTTCAATATTCCTTTTGTTATGCTTTGGCCTTGGAACTGATTACTATCATTTGAGGATTTTGAAATATTTTGCAACGTTTCTGTAATTTCGGTAAGCAGTTAAAGTTGTTAAAGTATATAATTTTTTTTAAGGGGGAAAAAATCATCGAATTACTTCGTGAGGCGAGAGGGAGTGTCAGACTCTTACTGACTAAAAACCACCCCGTTCCTTCTCCTGCACTTCGAGCCGGAGCCCCTGTAACCCGTTAGGTTCTCCGCGACAAATTATGACTTAGTACTACTTTAAACGAAAATTAAATAAACTTTTCATAATGGTAGTCAATTTGAACTCAAAAATATTCATGAAAAGATATGAAAAAGTAATTTCAGCAGTCGAGAATTTCATCGCAAAGGAATTTTAATGATGGAAAATATTTGCATATATACGTACCATGAGAGAGCATAAAATGCTTCATTAAGCATTGCAAGTTGCATAAATCAAGAACTTTACTCAAAGAAATAGCCAAAAACGTCAGTTATCGTGAGCTACGTCTCCAAACGTATTATATCTGAGTTTTGTAACATCGTAACATCGCGTGATCTTCCGAATAAATGATGTTTACAGTTTATTCGCCCTCCGTGTAACTTTCATTTGCAGGGAACTATGTTGGTGCAAGTTTTGAGGTAGTAGCGATTTTGTTAAACGCTCTACATTGTCCAGTTGTCCGGACATTGATCATGCCTTTCTGTCGTGAATTTCTTATTGGACAGTGTCTAGACTTCCAGCAAAGGAATGGTTATTTATACCCATAGGCTTATTTCTAACCGCCTGATTCACTAACTTCATGTAAATACGTACTCGATAAACTCAAGTGACAGATAGTTCATATAAAATAAACTACGAACTTAATTCTTTATATAGTACTTAAATAACGGCTATCCAGAAAATCTGAGCATAAGCATATCTTGAAACATGCAGTTTTTTATAAAGCAAATTGATTGACCTAAACGATGCTTGTTAAGCATTCGCCTCTCGCTTATAACTTGTAAACCCAATACACCAGGATTAGCGCCATGCAGTACCATGCTCCGAAGTTTATACGAAACGAAACGCATTTCCTCAATATAATACAGCTATGTACAAGTTTATGTTTAGCTATGTAGGTTTAACTACAGTACGTTGGCTTCTGTGTTTGGTAATTAATTTTGAACTATCGATTAGGTATCGATTTTATGTGTTATGTAACATTAGAATCGCTACGGAAGAAAACTAAACTATAATAGCTAGATTGTGGTGAACTATACATATTTTTGATACTTAATAAGTAATTGAGTTGTTAGTCTTCCTTTACGGCAGTGCAAGTCTATAAATCGGTACTGAACTATCATATTATCAAAATAATTGTCAATGATTTATTTTAGTATAGTATAGTATACCATAGTCTACTATATAAAAATAAGTCGGGTTTTCCTTCCTGACGCTATAACTCCAGAACGCACGAACCGATTTCCACGGTTTTGCATTCGTCGGAAAGGTCTCGGGCTCCGGGAGGTTTATAGCAAAGAAAATTTGGGAAAATTTCTTCATCTTTTAATCACCAATCGAAATACTACATAAAATGAAGCTATCTGGTGGCGAAACGGAGTTCGCCGGGTTTGCTAGTGCTTTATAATAGTAACAGGGCTCACGTTTTTCTCTTAGGAAAAAGCCCTTCTTATAAATTAAAGATTAAAAAATTGGACAAAAATTGGAATATTTTCGTTGTTTCTAAGAACAAAAACGTTGTTAACCTAAATAAGTAACCGTTAACCATTAATATAGCATCATAACAGTTTAGCAGTATCTAACAGAGCTTACAAAATTGCAAAGGTAACCCGAATTGAGTGATATATTAGGGCGATGGCGGAAAACGCGAAAAGGTTCAGTGCACGGAATGGCACCGGTATTGTTTGAGCGGTCACGACTCACGACACGGATATTGAACAAGCCTTCACTTCACAACTTTTGTAAATTACCTACAATGTTAACTTTTTCCTATTGGAAGTCTGATAGGGTCAGAACTGGAGATAGTTTAGGATGTTGGTTGTAATGATGAATATTAGGTTTTCAGGAATAAACCTATATAAATTAAAATTAATACCCTGTCGTAAATGTCGCTAAAACTCGAGAGTGGCTGAACCGATTTGGCTAATTTTGGTCTTGAAACGTTCGTGGAAGTCCAGGGAAGGTAAGTGAGAAAAGAAATTCTAGGCGGTACGAAGTATGTCAGGTCAGTCAGCTAGTCTAAAATAGATACATATAACTATATAGGTACTTGGTACTAGCAGGTAACGGATATTTCACATATTGAAAAACATTCCCTATTCGAGCCTATAGAAAATCACTAAATTGACGTTAAATTTTAAAAGAATGAAGTAGGTATATGCGTGTCCTCGAAACAGTCAGTATGGCAGGGTGTGCCATATTATTTGATCAGACTTTACAACCGCGTAGGTACGTCAAACGAATCTCCATTCATGAGACATAGTAGTGGCGTTTGATCATTCAATCTCGCAGTATGGCATCTCCAACAATGGACCACTTGGCAAACATTTGACCATCTACGACCCATCCCACAAAGGTCAGTCCTCATCCATATTCCATTCACCATCCACATTGATTCATGTAGGTCTGTGGAATTTTAGAGCACGCATCCTGCCAGTAATCAGAATTCGTTTCCAACGAAAAATGAACAAAAAGGCATATAATAGCATCGTAATGGCGGTGGTTACGCGGCGATGTGCGCGCACGCATCTTTTGTATTCCATGTGACAGCGGAAACGCGGGACGCGGTCGGCTGACTGTGATGTTGTCTGCGCCTTGATTGATTATTATTATAATTGTTTATGTCATTCTACGTGAGGTCTCCTATGTACAGCATTCGCAATTATGAGCAAAATTGTGGACACGGCCAGCATATCATTATGGTCGTGATGACACTGGGAGATTGACTTTTTTTAGTTATAAATCAAACACTTTAGTAGATAAGGTACAATAGCTGCTTAGCTACTGTAGCTGTCTACAACAGACAAAGAATCATAGAAGAATAAGTGCTATTAATGAAATGAAACATTTCTTTCGATAGCGATCTTTTGCGCGGTCAAAATCTGAACCTACCTACCTTTTTTCGACGAGTTCGTAACTTATAATCTGAGCTTAATTAAGAAGCAGTTTTTGGTTAGGTACTTATAACTAATGAGACAATCTGACAGTCATTTGTCGGGACTTCGGGAGGTCTACATTCAGGTCAGCAGTGGACGTCTTCCGGCTGATGTGATGGTGATGAGGATGATGAATGTTTTTCAATAAAGTTATTTTTTTATTGATTACTTTACGTTGTAAAATCGGATACTATCTAATGGTTACATAATGATTTTATTGGTGGCTGAATAATATTCATGATGATAACAAAATTCAAATAAAAGACGGTATAATAGATGCATATAGTCCATAAGTAATTTTATTGTATAATATATCTATTTTAGTTTTCACGTCGCGAACTGCTTAAATGTAGTTAAAATGATAGGTATGATGAGTGTAATGAAGTGCTTAACTTTTTTAAGAATTAATAAAATTAATGTTGGTAGTTAAGTGCCGTGCCGTTAATTATTTTAATTAAAATCGAAGCTAAATGGCAAAATTAAAAATAATATCATTTATAAATATTTTAGTGGTATTTGTAAAAGGTGTGCCTATATTAATTTATACCTCCTAATACTAAATGAGTATAGTGGACCTTGATGCCGAGGTGCCCAGTGTAGTTAATAAAATTATCGAAATAAATAGATACTTACGTTTATCGTCACTTTCATAATCCTCAGCAAAGGCAAATACAATGTAATTGAATAACAAAAACTGAATTTTAATATCAATCATACTGCAGAATAAATATTTAATTTTTTACTAAATAATTAACGAATAAATTCATTATTTTAACACCACAATCGCTATATTAATGTCCGAAACAAATGCAACGTTAATGTTATCATTTTTACTTATTAAACATTTTTAACAAAGGTGGATTCGATCGAGTGCTTCCTCGCGTACGACCGGATATTATTTATAATTCATCAGGACATGAACCCAACACGATAATCGGCCAAATACCAAATACAACTGTGCTTTTAGAATTATTGCGGCGTTGCTTAGCAACTAAATTGAATAACGCGCGCAGCTACCATAGACTATACACAGACTAGGCTTTTACAATGCCCGTTGTCAGCTTACTGTATCAAAACCGTATGATATCGTAAATCTTCAAGATTTCTATGTAAAATATATATTTGCATAAATTATTGCCTAAAATATGTACACAAAAATTACATGTCATATTTCTAACCATAAAATAATAAAATGTCAAATAAAAACAACCTTCAAGCCTTGTCTATGGTAAAGTGTTGCTCAGAAATAAATATTTGTACCTTTTAGTAGAAATTAACACTAATTCCATCCATAATAAATTTTTATGTTACAAAATTCGCCTATATCATAAACAACGTACAGAAAAGTGCTCCGACGAAAAGTTTATGGACTGGTAGAAGCGGTTCTGTTACTATGATTAAGAAGGCTAGCAGGGTCTACAACTGTGTATATGCCAAGTTTGTGCTTCGTTTAGCTCATCAAATCTAGAATGAAATCTCGCCCGCTATATATGGAAAGCAAATAAATGCCTATAGTGATAGTAGTATCATTAGATACCTACATATTATTTTCGTTTTCTACGTCTTCCTCCTCATATGTCATACAGTCACAAATCACGTATAACACTGCTCTGTATAAGAAGAATATGAAAAGAATCCACTATAATTCCATTAAAAATTATCTAAACTGAGAGTAAACTGATTTTGACTGCGTAGGCATGCTGCATTTAAGGCACAATTTTGTTAATAGTTGTCAAGAGCTTACAAATTTTAGTGAATGAAAATCAAATACATTTTATTAGAAATACATTTGCGCAAATAAGCTAAAATATCTTAACTTAAACACGATTTGATTGAAATTATGACAGTAGTTTTAGTAGCTTTTTATTTCATTAGTCTGGCAACTTTAATATTAACCGTGGCACGCAATCCGCAGCTTGATTCGTGCGAGTCTGTCGCTTTCGTCCGTCAGGGACTTGGTGCGACGTAAACGGGTGTGTGCGAAAGTATGAAGTGAAATCGTACTTAAAAGTGTGTGAAATGTTAAGTGTTAGTTTTTATTGTGCATAAAAAACAAAAATGAGTGCGAACGGATAAAAAAGTTTTCTTTTCTGATCCCCAAAACATTGTACGCATCGGTACACGTAACATTTCGTATGAACGGTTTCAAAATGGCTGTGTTTTGAAGGACCCTTTGTCCGCTTTCGTGTGCTTCTTTCAGCATGATAGTGGGATCGTACTGTCACAAAATTGTCTTAGAGAGGTGAGGAAGGCTCTTGCTAAGTTTTAGTGGTACTTGTGTAGAACAGCGGAGTGGAAAATTACTGGTCCCCGCCGATGAGCGGTGTCGGTTGATTGCTTTCTATACGAGCGATACCCACGAAACGATCGCTAGCAACGTGTGAGTTTCTATTAACCTTTTTATTTTCTCGTTTGTGTACTGATAAAGCTGATACAGGTATGCGGGCTGGCTTCGACGCAAGTTTATTATTAGCGTGGTGTTGATTTTCGTGCCGTGAAACTCGAGGTTTGTCGGTGCGAGGTAAACATATGACACAACTAAAAATAATCTGTTTCCATTTTTACACGTCTTATTGGAAGACTTTCGTGTTTAGTCACGTGTTTTGGACGTCTTATCATGGAGTTATCAGATCATAACAATTTGTGTGTATGTTCACAGGTTGTCGTTAGTGATACAAAATACAGACAAACAGTTTGTACACAAACTCCGCCCCTAAGGCGGCCTGCTGACGACTAGGCAATATAATAAATTGTAATACGTTTTTTAAACTGCTGTGATGAAATAGTCTATGACCATATGTTTTGATGTTTGTGTGTATTTTGTAACATATTGAAGGCACTATGTGATGTTTATATTTAAATGTTAGTTGTGCAAGTGTATTAGATATTTAGGGCATCAATTTTTGTTAACAAACCTTAAAAATTGTTCTTTTTCATTATATTCTTGTTAGAAAAACATCATTCCATGTATATTATAGTGTTATCATGACATGGCATTCCATTATTTATATATGTGATATCACATAATTACCTATCAAAGAAATATGACTACAAACTCCCCTTAGCAGTCTCTACTCTCTTTGTACTATTAATGATACTACAGAATTCAGTTCAATAACATTATAGATCAACAGAAATAACAAGCAAAAACAGAGAATAGCAGAAAAGTAAAATTTTGATTCCCTGTAGCCAAAACAAAGAGAATGCTTAAACATTATGGCTAATTTAAATATCACCTAATTTACAACTATCATCAATTTCAATCTAAATTATTTTATTATCTAGTTATGAAGTATTTTCTTTGAAATGTCTGTCATCAGTCTCTGATTTACTCTAAGTCTCATTGAATTTCAATTAAATAGAGGAGTCTTTATTGTCTCTCAATTTCAATAAAAAGAAATAAACCCAGAGGTCATCAAAAAATAAAAATATATAATATTTCATATCACTGTGATGATCACACCTTGATAAAGTGTCCAAGAATAGGATAATTGCAATAAAAATATTACTAAGATTAAATCTTCAATATAAATTGTTTGAAATGATACTTCTCATGTATTTAATGAAGACTTGTTTCATAAAAAGTATTACTTTCCTGTTTCCTTTTAATCAATGCACTGGTTTTACCAAGTAATTTGAGTTGTGTCATAAATAAACTGATTAATAAGTAAAAATATCACACTGTAGTGTTGTTTTTTAATTCTCTATTATAAAATGGTACATTCTGAGACTAGGAACTATAACAAATAAATAATAGTTTATAAGTGGCTATTGAATATTTCATGAATTAATTAAATAAGCGAAATGGCAATTAAAATTTTGCATAAATAATATAAAAATACAGAAGCACAATAGGTAAGGTAAAGTCCATATGTTGAAACATGTTCACAATTATTTTTTGTGTGTATTTTAACCTTTTGCTGACCTCTTACTTATCTCTAATGCATTAGGCTTTTATCACTATGTTTTGATACCAAACATAAATGTTACTTGGACCCACAACATTAGCAGATTACAATTTTCTTTTATTCTACATTAAAATTATGTAAAAACGCAATTTCAAAAAAAAAAACATTCAAAAACCGTTGTTCCGATAAGGTTGCGTAATAATAATACGTAACTGTACCACAGTTTATAACTGTTAAACAATATCCCTCCTTTGCAGACATTTGTTTACCTGGGGTTTTTTTGGATGGGGTTTCCCCAACTCCCTAAAATGAGTCATGCTAGGACAATAAAAAATGTCCGTTTATTTTTCTGTCTGTTAAAGTCGTAAATAGTTTCTGTCTATGATATTTCCAGTGGTTAAAAGTAAGAGAAATATTGTAAAAGCAAAGGTCACACCGCTTAAATCCGTCGACTCGACTCGGGTATCGTGAAATGTCGCAGGCACCGTTACGTACTCGTCTATTGTCGGCAGAAAACCGAAACGCATAACGGCAACCAGTCATTGTTTGTTGCGCACACGCACGCACTGTTGAAGTTGAATACTAGATCATTTTTATTCTAGGTAGATACATTGTAGCAGGCCTGGAAACTGCGTGAACTGGCTTAGGTACCAACCTAGGAAAAATATGACAAAAACTTTAGAGGAAAATGCAGTGCAACCTACATTTTTACAGTTAATGTAGACTGTGCCATTTTCCCTATCTGGACTGTCAATCTTGAAGTGTACCTAATTTCGGGGTTTTCCACTGCGAAAAGTCAAAATTAGCATTGAATCCAAAATTGTCCTCGTAAGCTTCCCCCGTATAAGGGATCCGCAACATAAAGAAGTTTTAAATTGATTTAGTCTTACGGAAAGTGTACTGGTTTCAAAAATAAAATAAAATGAAACTGTTTTAAAATGAAATTCGGGATAACAATGTGTCTAAAGATACGATATGATCTCATGAAGATAAGATTACGTCTCCATTGAAAATTATCATTGATTCTTTGGTTTTGTTGTCGAGATAACATAGATAACTTTTAGAAATATGAATAAATCTATAGCATCTACCTACTCTATTCGGTTATGCCTGTTAACAACTCAATGTTGATTGATCATCATTCCTTGACGGCTTTTGTAGGCTATTGGTAGTATCAATTTGGTACATGTATATATTATTCCCATAACTTTAGATTCTGTAATAAATTCAAATCGGTAATATCCGCGAGAAATTTTTAACTAAAGAAAATCCGACGTCGTGAAGGTACATAGTAGTTTACTTGTTAATTAGGTATATTGTAAGCTAGTGGTACAGTGTTAAATAAAATACTTGAGTCCGCAACGACCCAATACCTACCAAATCTATACGATAATCTAATCTTATTTCGTTTTTGTCATAAAATAAAATACTAAATTATTCTCCTTCTTTACAATCTTGTTTCTTCATAAAAATGTAATATTCCGATAGGTTGGCAACAGACGATACAATTTTTTATTTTATTTTATTTATTTCTCAATATTCAGTTTTGATCTTGAAATTTTGAGCACTTCGTGCAAACGTGACGAACGAATTATACTGAAACCTTGGCTTGAATTATTGAAAGATACGAATACTTTTACGTATAAAATCAATAAATATTCAGAATAGACCTTCCGATATCGTTGTTGCCGTCTTGAATTGGGACGTAATTGGTCACAAAATAATGAAATTACCGAATATAATCATTAAGATGAATACCTACTAAAATATAATGTAGTTTATGATGAAGATAGGCATATTCTTATACACGACGCTTATTACATAAAGAAGAAGTAATCGTTAATATAATACGATTGCGATGAAGTGGTGTCAGGATGTGGATGCCTGGTATAATGGCTGCTTATCATATCATTTCAATAGATCATGTTCTGTGCTACGGATACGTAGCAGCTCATAAGGCTTGATGTGAAAACATATGCATTACGCAATTCCCAGCAAACTGAGCCTGCTGAAAAAAAAGATGAAAACGAAGAACAATGAAAACTGCTTTCATTACTTTAACACGTTTAACGCCATGGAGGACATTGCGAGACCGACGCAACGTTAGCAGAATTTACCTTCAACAGTTTTCTGTTGGCAGTAGAGGTAGAGACAAAACAAAAGGTTTAATAAAGTACAAGTCTTTATCGAAAATAGGGTTTCATGTTACATTCAACAAATAACATAACATCACTCCTTTTATCCCCGAAGGGGTAGGCGGAGGTGCACATTACAACACTTAAAGCTACTGTACAATGTAATACCCACTTTTCACTATTTATATTATGAGTCCCATGTAATAGGAATTGAGCCTATTGCGTTCTGTTACAGTCTTCATCTGATGAAAATAAATGGCACAACCAACTTTGTATCTCCAAAGAACTACGTTTCTAAACTAGGCTACTTTTCAGTTCATTTCGTGTAACATCGATCCAATTGTTTTTGCCAACATTGAAAACATTAACTGCGTAACTTTTTGTCGTAAAGACAAATTATTTGGCAGTTCTTAGCAAATATATTCAGGTGTTCCTTTATTTTCAAATTGACGTAACTGCTTACATAAAGTCTAGGTTGCTTACAATTAAAAATACCTTTACAAAGCTTAAGAAATATAAGTTGGAATTGTGGAAATGCCATACAAAAATAGAGTATGATGTAATTGCTGTGTAACTCTTGGAACCTTAAGGGGTAAATTCAGTACCATACTTTAGTTATTGGTTTTTTCCTTTACGTATAAGATTAAGTAATTAAGCTTTGGAGAATGATAACCTTTCCAGAACTCTTTTGTTGTTCTATTTTGCGTCTCGAAGATCTTGCAGTTACCTACTACATATACAATTTTTAATAGGTACATCTAGACTCAATGTTGGAAAATATTACTCAAAGTCATGACTTGGTTGCTAATTTATTGGGTGCTTGTGATTGGTATAAAGCTACTGTATCACTAAATACGTACCGTGTGCGTAAATTGTGATAGCCATTACGCACGTGTCAAGATAAACTGCTAATATACTATGTAACACAAACATGGTATGAAGCAAATATGTAATATATGCGACAGTATGTTTATTATGAACCAACTTTATCGCGGAAAATATAATGAAAGGAAAACAGGGCGTAGTTTATACACAACACTACATATAATTATAATTAGGTAGTTGCCATGATTAATAAATATCCTTATAATAATTGGAATAAATTTAGAATGTGTTAAACTTATTTCTTCACATATTTTCTACTTGACATTATAGAAAAACTAGTTCTTTACAGTACGTTAAGGACAGCTTATCTATTTTGCTACATGAATAAATGAAACTGAATTTTATATTAATAGTGATAGTTTAATTTCAATTAGGAAAACAACAAATAACGCGTCAATATAGAGTATATCGAAATATGAAAAAGGACGCATGTTTTCGATACTTGCATGTATGTACATTCTTGCCGTGACCATATATAATTATGTTATTGCATGTTAAGTGTAGATATTCACATTGGTACGTGAAATCCCTTCAGACAAGAATCACGTTCTGTCCACATAAAAACGTGAAAGCACATAAAAGCACTTATGAGCAATTTTTCAAATCAATAATGATCCCTTATTATTCCTTTATGTCATTTCAACGTCACGTTCTCGGCATAAAACTAGTGATTTGCAATTTCACTGTCTATATGGCTTTGATAACAGATATTACGAATGGATTTCGATGATATTCTTCTAAGACAAAGACACGGCAAGTAACGGGACCACCTCGTATCATGGCACATTGTTTTCTTATCTGCAGGCTTTGAAAAACATGTTTCTAAATACCTAAGTTCTTGGTACATGTTCTCTGCATATCATCACGTAACAATAGGCTATTAAGGTGTATTAAAGACGAGTGTAATCAAATATGTATAAAAACGTAGTACCTATACTATTAATGCATCGTTTGATCGGTTTAATAATACATGCTTTAAGTCCAAAACTCATAATTCAGACCACGTCACAATACAGTATTAAATACCTGTTCTACAGCACTGACTTTCTGTTTATTGTTGCTGCTTGCAACTTATGGGATCATTATCTAAATGCAGGGACGTGGACATACGTACAATCGTTGTAACGACTTGTTCATTCCTATTTAAGAGCCCAATTTACTATTTGTAACATGTCCGGCGGTTTCACCCACGCTTGCCTTTAGAAAGTCGATGGGAGCCGCGATAAATACTTAGGTTTCGGCACCGGTTCTCGCATTGTTCTCCGACCACAATAGGATTATAGGATACATCCATAAAGCTATTTTCACTTCCGCACAGCGAGGATTTAGTGTGGAGATCATAGATATGCAGCCACTAAATCTCTCGCCGAAATATAGCCGCTATAATCTCTGAAATTTTTATTACATTGTAATGTTGTAGTTTACTATTGAATTTTATAGCAAAGATTTTTAACCATTACTGGGGCTAGCTGATCAAATACGAAGAGAAAATTAGACCAATTGAATCGAGCGTTGCGGAGCGAGCGGGAGATTGTAAAAAAATACAGAATTGAATAAAGTTCATTTAAATTTCGAGGCAGAAATGTGAAAGGATGCCCTTAAAATCGAGGACGACAGAAACCTTCTACAGTGGAAGTGCCGAATAATTAGTATGGTAATTTTGACCTGCTTAGTAAAAACTTAATACGATCGTAGATTTGGGTGTAAAGCTGTTCCTATCACGCCACTAACCCTTTAGAATTTTAGATTATACCACTTTAAACTTTAGGAATATCTTAGTACAAATCTAAATGACGTATTAATTTATGTGCAGATAAGGTATTAACATTCTTTAAAGTTAATGTGATTTGCCGAGGAAAAAGTCTCGAAAATCTAAAATGAAATTTCGTGATCAGACAACCGGCAGAAATTAAATTCTGAGTGAATGAAAAGCTAAAGTATTTCTTTGAAGCAAGTAATTGATTACTAGATTTACTGAGAAATACCTATTAACAAATTACAAACATAGTCAGACAGATTTTATACCTTAGTTTTCTCCTCAATAAACGCTCTCGTAACTAGTTTCCAAGTAACAAGTTTAATTAACAAACTAAATCTGTTTTGCTGCGCGCTGCCCGGCACTGTCCGCTTATAGCTCGGTCATCTAGCCAACACCCGTGCGAACCGACACGGCAACGACCACCTAGCATGCATCATAGTTAGCTACAATTAGGTACACATTTTAATAAACACTAATCACCATCAAGATCTTACTTTTTGTACTGATTTCAACAATAACAACGAATTATCATTGTCCATGATTGAGTAAATAATGTAAGAAATTACGTGGAAACGCAGCGTATATAAAATAAAATCGTGTTAAAAATAATACGGTACAAGTACAAACCTTTGCTATACTTAGGGAAACCTTGTAAGCTTGCGTCTGAGATTTTATTGTAATAAGCGGATTTCACGTTCAGTTGAGGCGGCTCAACTCTGTCTCGACTGTTCAAGGAGAATCGGGTTTCATTGTAAATCTAGATTGTTTTGCTTCACTCGTATTTCTTTCGTCTTGTCGTTAGCGCAAATTAATATCATAATAGAAGTTATTGGGAAGATAAATGGCGACACTCCTATGTTTTCGTCTTTATTTTTAATGCCATTAGCCTAGTATCATGTTTAGGAAACTCTCCTCAATTTGTTAATGAATGAGTCGTCTTCGTGTAAGCGTCGTTGCGCCGGTTTCCACGTCGCGGCCTTTACGGGTCGACTCCACGAAACGGAGACATGCTTCACGGTAATGGTGGCTCTTAGCAAATGAAAACTCGATTTTTACGACGCTTTCTGCGAAATTACTTGGCTGTAAAAGCCGAAAAATATTAAATTTGCGGCGACACCGGTGTCTCGCGCGGCGGCTTTAATTTCTGGTCACTTTACTTTTAATATTGAAGTTTCATTATCAGTATTTCATAAATGTCGTCATTAATACCTTCTCAGTTTAAGTCTTTATTGTATATTTATGTCATCAATCAAGATGGTGATCTACCATTTGAGTGTTTATCGTATTGTTGTTCGTGTTCCGATGTATAACGTGTATTTCACTTGTTGGTAGGGAATGCATGTCATGTACCCGGAGTCGGCGTCGCAATACCACAGCAGTCAGCCCCAGTGCCCGCAGCCAGAGTACCAGCCGGCAGCATCGCCGGCCTTTCAGCAGCCAGCTAAGAAGCGCCGCTTACTGAGCCCCACACAAACGCAACACCATAACGGAATACCACACGCACAGCTTGACAACAGCGGCTACAAGGTGAGAACTGAGAACTCAACACCACGAACAATAGAAATATTTAACTGTCTGGTGACTCCGATGTAAAGTCATATTCTGCACGTTCGTCACTTGATACGAGTGATTGAATCATCTTGATAACAACGACACCTTTTCATCGTGTATACTAGAATTGCCTTAAAGTTCTTTTATATTTGTCGTTTTTTATAATAATTACAAGGTACAAGCTATCTAATTGATAGTTCAATTAACTAATTATTTCGAGAAGAAAATGTCAATGTTACTACAACTTGTTCTTGAATTTTTACTGATATAAAGTTTTAGTCACCTAGCTTAAGACACGCGTAAAAGGAATATAATAATGGTGATTGTACTGCTGTTTAAAATGCATTCTGCGATAATTCAACTTTACACAATATATCGCTTTGGCACTCTCTTTGTCTCGGGGAAAATGTGAGAACACAACGTGCCGGGAAAGCAAAGAATTAACACTTTCTCCACTACGAGGAAGATTTCGATTGACGGAAAATTCCACATAATATTGTAACACACGACTCATATTTGCGTAGGAAAGGTTACTTGTAGTATTTCAACATTTAATGTCCATGTAACAACATTAAACCAGTGCTCAGTCACCTCTACCAGTTATTGATAAACAACTGGTTTTATCGATACAGGATAACATTTCGATATTTTAGGTTTTCCACAATATACCTAATTGGATAATGTTACAACGTAATATGAGGCAAACTGGTTTTTGGAATAAGGTTCCGAAATATTTATAATGCTTGTTGCATGTCGCCTTGGTTACAAGGAAAGAAATCCCTTTGTACCTAGATCGACTGTAGACATTATTGTAATGAAAGTTTTGGTATTGTACACTAAGGGTATATTTACATAACTATCACAAAACGTGACTAAAGTAAGTCTTAATCTGAAAACAGATCCCTAAATGGTATTATTGTTCCACTGATCGAGTTAATATTTCGGCTACAACGATTTAGTTCATAACATGAATATATGAATGTTAGATAGCATATCTCGTAACCACTTGCCTTTGTAGAATATATCAAAATTGATACAAGGCGGTACAAACGCGAATGTCACATCAAGGAGTCATATGAAGTTAATTTTGCGTGACGCAGAGAGCCATCTGATGAATATGTAATCGCGTCAACACTCGCTCCGCAAACGAGGGTGCGGTGTTTCAACCGTACGTATTTTCATGTAAATTGATGGTTATAGCGGTCGTGTACTGTAATCACAGCCTTATTTACTCTCCTATCATTTACTCTACGCCCGCCAACCACTTTTGCCAAATACACTTCAGTTACTAACTGAACTGGAAATTCACTCCTTAAACTGTAATCAATTCTCGGTTCCAGATTGTTGTTACTGTAATTTGGTCTGTGACAAAGTATTTCATAACTGAAATGATTTCCCGAGAGAAATTCTCCATGTTTACTCCAATAACAAACAGCTGGGTTGGAGGAAATCATTTAGGGAACATACTCGGAAGGGACCTTCATTATAAATCTAGATGAAGGCTGCAAGTTTCGTTAATTCTAATGCATGCCCGACGGGGTTTTAATGACTCATTCTTTAAGAACAATTCCAGTGCTCAACAATTTTCATAAAACAGCTGGCGGTAATTTTAACACACCCCTCACGGTTGCGAACTCCACAATATGCAGTGGCGCATCTGTCGCGAGATGGTCTTTTTACCGTTAATCAACATCTGGGGCACTTTTGAAAGTATCGCCCGCATGCGGCTTGTAACTCGACGCAACCGAAATTGGTTTGCAGTCCTTTATATTGTGTGTTTAAGCAAAGTATTAACTTACTTGCAAGAGAAATACCGACTCATCAGGAATTCTTCGTTTGAGGTTTCTGAGACAAGAAAGTTCTAAATTGTTGATAAACTCTACAATACATACTTATAAAAGACTAAATGGAATTGTATTACGAAAATTTCAGTGCTGTAAACAGTAGATAAAATCGCAATGACTTACGACATTCAGTGCAAATTACCGTTCACAATTTGCAGCAAAGCTTTTGTTTGGTGAATGCATCTTTGTTTGCGACCCATTGAATCTCGTTTCATTCTGTCATGTGATCAACACACTCCTGCCTCGCGTGTTGCTAAACAATGAGTTCTCAACCGCACTTAATTCAAATCAAAGTTCACCGCATCAATGCAGACACTCGTATGTCAACATGTCATGGAACACTCTTCTTAATTCACTAAATGCAGTTATTAGTTACGTAACATTGAATTATTCAACGAGTTGCTAATTGACAAACCAATTAATAAATTTTCAATTTGCGTGAATGACCACGTTGATTTTTATGATTCAATACGTTTTAACTGAAAAACAGTCGCGGTATTCAGAGGTGAAAAATAATAGAAATGTTTGCGTAAGCGACGCGGCGGGGCCGGCACGTGGATGGGAGGCGAGGCCCCGTGATAGCACAACGTGAACCGGGTCGTCGCGGGAATACACAACACCGACTTACTGGAGAGAAAATGTCACATGGACTTGCCTTTCAAGAATTAATTTATTGTCCACTGAAGTTGTCGAGCCCCGACCCTTTTCTACAGTTAAACTCCTAGGGAAAACAATGCCTGGAACCCAGATTGGATATCCCTGTTATTACATTTGCCCCTATACCTGCTGTAGGTAACGTAAATAATTACACAATGCTACGTGTATTATTGGTATAGCAGCCTTTTTAATGTTTGTTTAGGTAACATGGCGCCGCTGCTGTACTAAGTAGGTACATCTATTAACTTTATATTATAGTTAAACAGAGCGACCTCGTTAGCACAGTCAAAACACGTATTTTTATGGAGCAAAACCTAGTACTAAATAATTTTTTCATATCAAAAATTTCGTGAATAACAATTTAATCAGAACTATAACGTTATTCGGCCGATATAAGACTTTACGCAGCTAGTGTTTAGGTATATTTTTGTGTGTATCAACGAGTGACGCAATAGTGTTTGTTTACGTGGAGCAAAGTGGCTACGTGCATTTAGCGAGCGGCTGGTACGACGTTGCCAAGTCGCGCTTGTGCCAAATTTGGCATCGCGATGATGGTTGCTTACCGAGGCCCGCAACGGCATGACCACTTTTTGTCAGTAACAAGAATTGAGGCACAGCACCAAATCTTGTTTTTGATGTGTCAACTCAACTGAACACCGCCTGGAGAGATTGCCAAGATAAGCCACACAATGTCCATGTAAATCTCTTCCAGTTGTATAATGACGGTGCGATCGTATGCCCCGAACTAGTTGGTACTATTTTGGTTTTATCATTGCAAGTATTTGCTTGCACTGTTCGCGGCATTCGTCGTCAACATGAATAAATAAATGGGTCCGACAATTGAATGTCACGATTATCTTATTGCCGGAGCGACGTTGCCACTCGGCGGACCTTTACTGGCTATTTTGCGGATGGCTGCGTCAAAAAATGCTTCACATCTTTTGCTCTTGCGCATTAGATTTTTACTAAAGTTGGAAAACAGAAATGAAACTCTCGGATATTGCGACGGTCTCTAAGGAACTTGTTGTATTTTTCTATTCACATTTCCCGACTTACTTTTTTTAAAGATACATCCAAGTTTCTATTCTCCGTTTTTATTTTATTTACATTTAAAGTGATTTTCGAAATTATACCCTATTGAGATGTTGAAACAAATTGTGACTGCGACATATTGGTGATGTGTGAACGATCACTCACATTGTAAGTACGTATGAAGCCGAGGAACATTATACGCCTTGACATCATTTGCAAATCCAGCGCGAAGGATCGCTTGTTTTTGTTCACAAGTCGACGTTGCATCGTGTTTGTGCAATGAAGATTTCGTGATGTGATGTGATGGGCGAATTGGCACCGTCGGACCATACAGGTCAGTAACCCGCGATGCCGCTCTCTCCCCGCGTCCCTCACATTACGTAATATCTGCGCTGTTGCCACACCGACGACATTGCCAAAGTCGATAGCTCCATGTCGATCATTCGCGCCTGGTAATCTTGTCTTATCAAAATTCAAAAACCACTGCCCGTGTCGGTCGTACAGACCGGTTTATCTACAAATTTCTTTAATGCAAAAAGAAACTGCTCTGATGTAATTTAAGCCGGCACACAGGCTGGTCTTCAATTCTCGTGTTTTGTGGTAACGCCATGCGACACTGAAATCCACAAAAATGGTCGAGCTATATACCACATCGATTAGTCAGTGTCACAAACTTTCACCTCTGTGCACCGTAGGATATTGTATCTCCGGGTCAGAAACGTTAACTTTCACGGTCGTTACTGATATAGCTTTTGTGCTTGTTCGTGCGACCCCGTCAAATGAAAACCATCAATTTGCTCGCTGCACTATAACAGCCTGGCAGAGCTAATGCTCGCATGTTAGGGCCCATTCCCAAGGTAGATACATCGACACCGACCCGGCTCCGTTTCCATCGATGTCAATCGATACATTCACGACTGGCTCCGAAGTGTGTCGTTAGCTTGCGACTGGCCTACCTATTGACTAATATGACTGGGTCATGTTACACCGCGTGCCCGCGATGGCTGTCTGTACCTCGTTGATTTATAGTCATACTCATCGATGCCTCATAACATTTACCGAGCTCCATAGAGGTACATAATCATATCACAGAGACGTGATGAAATGAACCTCTCGGCAAAGATCTGATTACTTCGTTATAAATATGAACAATGGAACCTATGGTCGATCACATACATAATCATCGTGAATTTTCATTTAGTTTTAATAGTCGCAGACTTAAAAATTGAATAGGCCTTAATTCTTATTACTAAAAATCGTTCCATTAACACCGATTTCGATCTCTCCAATGAGATCAGCATAATTTTATTTGTTTCTAGAGCAGCCCCCTACCAGCATTACTATCGACATTATGAAAAGTAAAGAAGTATTCATATACAAGAATCGCTTACAGTTGCGATGTGTCTACTGTTTTGACTGCCACGATGGCTATGGGACAAAGGA